TAATGAAATGATTCAGTGTCGGTATTGTTTCTCTTGGTAGGCCGTCTGCTGTGGTGAAAGGGAAGGGGCGGGGGCTGCCTGGGGCGATTGTGGGAGTGTAAGTCTGAGCGAGTTATGGTTATACAAACACCAAACACATTTGTGATAAGAAGTGGACTGGAGGAGAGGGCATTAAACCTTTGCTCAAAGTCTTTTCTGGGTATTTGCATCACTCACTCAGCTTCACAGAGACAGCAACATAGATTTATGTGTCATTTTCTGTCAATGAAAATGTTTTTAACCTGCTAACCTGATTTGTTTGCATCATATCGGATCAAAACAGTGTTGCCGAGAGCCTTGCAAAGAATACATATTTTGATGACATTTTTCACATAAATTCTGAGGTATTTTATTTTGAATACGACTAATGTTTTGTGTGCATTGTCCTTGATCAAATAAATGGAGTTCAGTACAAAAGATGCTGGGTCACTGAAGTTTCAATTGTAAATACATCTCAAACAAATCTATTGAGACTGGCCTTTTCACCGCTACCACTCGTTTTTAAAAGGATGCTTTTAACTGTTTTTTTCTTTAAACATGGACCTTTTGTGAGGAGACCTTGAGTACCCAGAAAAGGCACAGAAATATATATGTATTATTATTATTATTATCACCGTCATTATTATATTTATCATCACCGTTTTGATGATGCTGATTATTATTATTACTATCACCGTTATCATTATTTGTTTTTAAAAATTAGACAGGCTCTTAAAAATGAAGTTTAGCTCAAAATTCTACTTATTTGCCCAGAAACACTGTATCCTGCTGTACCATTGGTCCCTCTGACCAATAGGCCCATATGACCATACTGTACATACAGGCCACAATTGCCCTCGACCCCACCCCCCTCCTCCCCCCTCGCAGCTGTATGGGAAGATAGCGTGTTTAGATATACATAAAATAACTGCACTCATGTTAAACCCACTGTTTATTTGAAGCGTCCCCAAACACGTTTAATTTACTTACATAATGATGTTTACGTGTTCACTGATAAATGGGACAGGGTGAAGGGGGGTGCTCATTTGCTTGACCCTGGGAAGATATCCACCACAAACCAGTGCCGTCCCAGCATCCCCTGTGGAAAATATCTGCTCCAGAGAGGGCAGCGGTCAAAGTTGAGGATTTGAACCCACACTTCCTCTGCGCTGAGCCAAAAAAAACAACACGACCGAACAGACACTAGAGCTCCACAAGTTCTCAGGACACGATCACAGCCACAGGCCTCCCCCGTGAATGTGTGAGGACTCCCACTGCCTCATGGTCTCAACACGCACAGGCAGTGGTCATCAAATGTTGTCAGAGCTTGCAATTTTTTAACAATAATCATAATAATGCATGTTTTATATAGCGCCTTTTTTGGACACTCAAAGACACTTTACGTGTCATTATTCTTTCACTCCATACACAGCGGTGATAAACTACTACTGTAGCCACAGCTGCCCTGGGGCACACTGACAGAAGCGAGGTAACCAGTATGTGCCATCGGCCCCTCCGACCACCACCAACCATTCACACACACAGCAGACTCATTCTAGGCAATGGGGGTGAAGTATCTTGCCTAAGGACACAACGGCAGTTTGGCACTTTACAGCCGCAGCCGCCCCACTGTGGCATCAGGTGTTCCCAGAGGATAAGTGTCTTGCCAAGGACACAGCAACAGCAGACAGTGGGAGTCGATGGTGAAATTCGGGCTCGAACCCACAACCCTCTGGCTCAAAGGCCAATGCTCTACCAACTGAGCTACTGTTGCCCCTACATAACAACGTTTCCAAATTAATACACATTGCTTAAATACAATGAAATACAAGAACAGTAATAAAAAACAGATTTACAGAATTTAATGAATGCCAGAAATATAAATCCTAACAAACGTTCTGGGTTCAAAACCTGGTTGGAGCAGGCCTTTTCTGAGTTGAGTTTGCAAGTTCTCCCCGTGTCCGCGTAGGTTTCCTCTGGGTGCTCCGGTTTCCCCTACCACTCAAAACTTGCACAATAGGTATGAATGTAAGTGAGAGCCTAGTGGATGTGTCGATTAGGGGCTTTTATTCACGAGTGTATTTGGCGTGGAGTGAATGAAACAAACTCTGAACATTGTAAAGCGCTTTGGGTGACCTTGGTATGTATAATGCGCTATATATATAAACATTACTTACTTACTTATACTTACAACAAAAGTAGATTATTGCCAAAATCAAAATACAGAATTACCTCTACACACTATGTCAGCATAAGTACCGTTCAGCAAATACAAATCTCACAGTTCCAGGTTGTGACTCCTGCTTCCTGTTACTTCCACAGCTTGCCGTGAAAAACATGTGACATTAGCTCAGTATAAAAAACTTAATTTTCCGAACCTTCTGGACCTTTGCACGACTCCCCAGATGTCCGGCTTTCTGCTCAATTTCCGAGTCTCAATTTTAGTTCCATGCAGACTTATTAACATTAATAAAGGGTAATGGGAGGACAACATCAAAATGGTTTTCCCATCATGAGCATATGGCATGACCGAAAAAGTAACAACCCAGTCCACACACCCATTTTCTGGCTTTTGGCAGTGATGTATCCTGTCCAATGTCATAACACATTTTAATTAGTAGATGAAGTGAAGGATGTCAACATTATGTGAAAATTCAAACAAAAAAAGATGCAACTTCACAATATTTAGACTAATTAACTGATAGAGGGGGCTCAAAAAGCTTAAAAATCATGCACAACTTATTTAAAAGTATTATGGGTACAGCACATAAACTTACTCAACCAACCTCAAAAGAGCAGAATTGTGCAGGAACTTATTTTTGAGGGGAAAAAAAGCCACCCAATGAAGGCTGCAGCACAAAATGTTCCTAATTGTACTTTATGATCTCTCAGTAACAGGAAGTGGACAACCTAAGTGACACAACTCCCTCCATTCTGTACGTTTATGTTATAAACATGTGTGCAGTGGTGGTACAAACTTGGCCTCTCGGGCTGTGATCCTCGTCCAGTTTATGAGATCCGTTTGTCCCCAGGACCCAAAGGAGTTGTATAAAAAATATGCGAAAGATTGACTTGTCTGTCAAGTTGAAAAAATAAGCAGAAACATGTGCCGAGTCCTGGACATGCTCTTGTAAAATGGAGTTTCTTCATTTTGTTCCCATATTCGCAACGTGCACAATCATTCCACGTGTTTGGTATATGTCTATGGGTCTCTCTCATTGGGAGTTTAGAGGGAGGAAATTATACATTGAACAAGTATTTGACATGACAGAGTAAGACAATAAAGTTGAAAATATAGAATTGGAGAATTCCACATAGTTAATAGGTCTGAAAAAAATAACACAAGAAAAGTATAATTGTTGTTGAGCAAAAAAACATCTTCTCAAATGCAGATAATGAAATGGAACCGGTTCTGGAGTGTATGTGACTTTCTATTATCGGTGTAATAAATTTGTTTCCATTCAAGTTTAACTAGAAGGACCACACCGTGCTAGCGCCACAGACTCATCTCAAATCTGTCTTTCTACCTTCACACACAGCCCCCACTGGAAGGACTGAAACGGTACACGGATTAGTTTCAACACAGAATCAGCAATTATCCTTTGTAGAAAACAAAACTTAATATACTACTAAAGCAGGCATGTCCAAACTAAGGCCCATCGTTGAGATCATAAAGACAAGTTCACATAGTCATTCAGCCAACTTCAGTCAACCTAGGAGCCTCATTGTAAAACACAGTATCTCTGAAATCCAGTTGACTTCGTTTGACTGCACTGACATTTGCTTTTGACTGTATTACCCAAATGTATCCGGTGAGTAAACATTTGTAATCCAGCCAACTTCAGCTTCGTCAAATGAAGTAATAGAGATATGTTTACCCAATCGTAAAGTAAGTAATCTTTATTTATATACCGCCTTTCACAGACCAGAGTCACAAAGCGGTTTACAATTGTTATGATTTTTGGGCACGTGTCCTCTCACTCCACACAGAGATGGGAGCGGGGTCGCCAAACAGGAGGCGCATGCAAAGTCCTATTGTACATATTTTTAGTGGTAGGGGAAACCGGAGCACCCGGAGGAAACTTACGCAGACACGTAAAGAACAACCCAATCCCAGTCAAGCCGTGTGGTCGGCCCCTGAAACATTTTTGCTGAGCTGAAAATAACTATAAAACTATAGTCAACATAATTACCCGAGTTAAGAGGAGTAGATGGAAAACTAATAGTATCACAAAGACACAAAGCAAACTTGTGAAAATAGATTTATTTCTTCACACTTTTTTTTTTTTTGGGTAATCAACATCCCCAAGCATGTCCATCTCGCAGTAATTACAGACATATGCACAGAAAGCCTCGCGTCGCAGAAACAATGGGCTGAATTACAATAAATACCTGACAGAGCGCTGCCAACCTGAAGCTGTCATTGTTAAGTGACACTAAGTATTTGAATCCATCTGTAAATGTAGGAACTGGTGGGAGTACCAACTTTTCCGTGTTTCGAGCAAATTATGCAGATTAGCAAAGCTGTTTTTACTGCGCTTCTGCTACAAACATATGTCTCTGGTCTCGTACTGTACAAATATACAACGTGGGACATGTGGGATTTATGACGATGGTGAGAAAACGCTAGAAAATTGATAAGAATGTTTAGTTTTCATTTAACTATTTAGGTTTTTGGCAGTTTTACTCTTAAATATATTATCTTTTTGAAGGAATTGAATCCTGATACTATAATAACACCAGCTTTATTGAGGTGAATGCAAGACTTGTCTACTTGTCTATATAGTTAGGAATAAACATTTGAAGATTTTTGTAATATAGATGTACAAAAATACATGATAGTAAAAATTGGAGAAAAGTACATTATGATTGTCATGAATTAAAAGCGAGAACAAATCAGAATCTTTATCATTTTGACTTAAATAAGAAGTTGGAATTGAACAACTGAAACAAGCGGTCTTCATGAGTATTGTGGTCCTGGTTCAGCTCCTGGTGCTGTACAAGTCTGCGTCCTCCGGGTCCGACTGTCCAAAGTCCATAAGCTCTGCTCTGAAGCCCCCTGGAGAGAGGAAACACAAACAATTTTTAATAAAGAGGAAAAACGACTTGACGTGGTTTTTAATGGCTCTCTTGCATCTCGTTTGGCATCCGAGGCTTCAGCGCTCAGTCATTTTGTATTGTGCATAGCTCCTATCTCTGTTCATTACTGTGTATTTGCAATTATGAAAAAAGCTCGGAAAAAATTTAGGTAAATAGGTAAAACATTTTGTGTCATTTAAAATGATCAAATTGTAAGTTTTAATAGCCCGTAGTATTGCTGCAAACCTACATGTTCAGTATATCTCCAACTGAAAACACAAATGTTTTAAACCAATACTTATAGAAAGCATCCATAAGTTATTACTTTCAAGTACATTTTCAGAGATCACGGATTGTTACGTTTGCAGGTGTACAGAAAACAACTACATCTACACAGGTACTGACGCTTAAGGTCTGACTGTGATGACTGATCATTATAAGGTCATTAAGGCCTCCTCCCTCCGCCCAAACCTGCGCTTCACCTCTTGTACCTTTACTAGTCTCGGCTGGGGTCTCGGCTGGGGTCTCGGCTGGGGTCTCGGCTGGGGTCTCTGTTGTAGCGACAAGCGTTGGTTCTGTAGTGTGCTGTGCTGTTGGTGTTTCTTCAGATGAAGGTGGAGGGTCAATTACCTCTGTTTCTAATTCTGTGGATACAATACAAATATTGCTTCAGTGGCGGTGATGAGATCCACAGGGCTCAGGTCATTGACTGGTGACTTCCAGCAGATGTGTCCAGGGGTGGTGACTATACCTCATCACAGCCACTATCAAACTCTGATTCACAGAAATGAAGGTTAAAGGAATATTGGAGTAAAAGATGTAGACAATCCAGCAGTCTAATGCTGATTTAGATTGAAGTAAAACAGTGATTGCTAAACACAAATTAATCATCAGGTCATCATAATGAAAGGCTCGATGAACCCGTCTTTAATTGAGTGGAATCAATGAAAATAGCATGTGCCCAATATGGAGCCTTGGAGCACACCACACCATGAAGAAGTGTTGACAAGTAGGTGAGGCGAGTGCTACACAGGCTTTCAGCAAAGTATCGTAGGTGCGCTTCAAGGACCAAATTATGCCAAAAGTGAAAAGAGAGGGAATCATCCAAGACATGACAGCAAGGTATGGTCAGTTAAATATCCTTTATTTTAGGATGGCTGCAGCATTTCACAAAGAAGTGAATGGAGACATGCTCCTGACTGAGACAACTCTGTGTATAACACACACAAACTGAGAAAAACAGCAAAAACAACTGGGACTCCTGACAAAACAACGTCAAACATGTTAATGACCTCAACCTGTAGCTTTCAGAGGAAAGGGGAGAAATCTATCCTCATTCAAGCAGGATATTTGAATATGCATTTTAAAGAGTCAATCCAGAATGTTTCTCTCTGCAATATTCTCGTCAGTTTTTCTCTTCCTTTGGCTCTGGGACAGTCCATGTTGTTAGAGTGGAAAGCATGTTTTGGTTCGTGCTTTGTGCAACTGTACTGTAATGATACAGTTGACGAAAGAGCAATACTCGAAAGACTTACGGCGCCTTGAATTTGTGGGAAAAAATTTAGCAACTGATAATGGAACAGTGATGGCACGCTCCAGAGCTGAACGGGCTTTCTTAAAAAGGGAGTTTGTCTCTGTGCTGCAGTATAGCTGCTCATCAGCTTAACCTTAAACGTCAGGCCTCGTCCGAAGCTAAATGTATAGGCTCTAAAAGCAGAGATGGAAAGAATTCCCCAGTTTTTAATCATAGCTTGTATTTTTCTTGCAGCTTGGCTGCCATGTTGAAATAAAGTAATTTTGTAACTGATAAAAGAAGTGTTTTTGTTTTTCAGCATTAATACCTTTGGCACTGTCAGCAGGAGGGGGCGGGGCTTCTGCAGCTGGAGATTCAGGAGCCAATTCCACCACTGGTTCCACTAATTCAACAAATATAAAAAGTCAAATGAATAGCATTCATTTAACAAGGAAACTTTCACAGCTGCATTTTTTTGATAATACACAAATTTCATTCATGCTTCATTAAACATGTTTCATTCATGTTTTCAGTCAAAAAAATGCTTTACAATCTCTCCATAATGATATCATGATGTTATAGGGCTGGACGATATGGCTGAAAACTATCACAATATAAGTGATTCATATCGGTCAGTATCAATAATTATTGTTTTTTTTTAAATCTAAATAAATACATTTGTTGTGTCGGCTAACACGTTAGCAGCCCTTGTAGTCCTGATATAGCTCCTGTTTTGGCTCTCTGATAGCCGCAGGTGCTTCCCGAGGAAAAAGTTCTCCCCCGCCGCACATGCTATTCCTCACAAGGACGTGCATAACCATTGACACGGCTCTGAAACGATCTATAGATCCATGGATGTTACGCGCGGTACGGTCATACTGTTGCTGTTGATGGTCGAGAAGCCTTTGCCTATGTCCCCTAGAACAGGGGTTCCCAAAGATTTTAGCCCGCGACCCCCATCATAAATGCGCTGCTCCCCCGCGACCCCCCACCTCAACAGTCCTTCCCGTCAATGAGCATATATTTCCTTGATACGGAGTAACGCTTTATAGAGACTCACGCCACTACTGAGCTGCACTCGCCAGCCCAAAAAAGGAGGCTTACGTATTTTTGCTCAGGTAGTGACACAGTGATGGGCTTGGTGGGCTCCCTCCTTAGCAGAGGTGGAGCGCATTTCTTGCGGCTCGCCCTCACTGTTCTCCGACCGCGGTAAAGTGGCCCGGCTTTCGGAGTCAGCGGTAAAGAGGTCCGCACATTAAAAGCGGGCGGCCGCTTTCTGCTGTTACTTTATACGGTTCATCCCCGCGGCTTCTTTTTCCAAAGTTACTGTCAGTAACAGCATAAAGCGGCCACCCGCCTTTAATGTGCGGGCCTCTTTACCACGCTATACCGCTGCCCTCTCTCCCTCCGCTGCCCTCTCTCCCTCTCTTTGCACCATCAGCCTGACCCCTGACACATGTGGCTTTTCTCCCCCTCCGGGTTTTTTCTGTTGTGGATATTAACCATGTTTCATTTTAAAGCAGGTATTATTTGTCCGTCGCCTCCAAACACCTTTAGTTTTAGCAAACAGCAGTAGGACGCGCTTTGTCGCTGCATGACGTAAGCTGCGTAACTTGATTTTGATTGATGCTGTCAATGACTGTGACAAAATTACAAATGTAATTAAAATATATTATATTCTCCAAACACAATTTGACAAGTAGTCCTTTTGAATCAAATCAAATGCAAAATAAATATTTAAGGGCTATTAATTTGCTCAATTTTTTTTCTTCTTAGAAATCATCTTGCGACCCCCCCAGGGGTTCCCGCGACCCCCCGGGGGGTCGGGACCACCACTTTGGGAACCACTGCCCTAGAATGCCGCCCGCTTATGACTTGGCTTTACTTCCTGTGTTTTTTCTAACGGAGTGAAGTTAAACGATAGAATATTCTATTGACCCCATTTTCTATTGATATCAAACACGTGTCTATCGCAATATATATTGTTATAATTTTATTGCCCAGCCCTATGAAATTATAATTTTAACTACAGTTTGTGCAACAGGGAAAGTGGTGAAAGTGGCAAAAGTGAATAGTACCTTGAGAGGACTGAGCAGCAGGTTCCTCAGGAGATGTTGGTGCTGTGACGGGGGTCTCCACAAATGGAGAAGCTAACTCTGGCTCTGGAAACAGAGCGTAAGAAAATAAGCCAATGATACAAAGACAAATTTGGCTACTTTGATTATAAAATAATGATGTTCTAAACCAAACAAGTTAACAATGAAATAAAAAGATAATCTTCCATTCAGTATTGTTTGAATGTAAACTTCTTAAATAGGCACCAAGCTCATAATGGAATCTCAACAATAGACTCAGCAACAACAATTCCATGATTCAATTGTATTCCTGCTGTATCTGGAGGTCCAGTGAATCCTCTAGCATTCTTCACATTGGGAAGTGTGGATTTGGATGAAGTGATCCATGTATTTTGTACCTTGGACACTTTCAGCAGGAGAGTCTTCAGGAGAGGGCGGGGCTTCTGCAGCAGGAGGCTCAGGAGTAGATTCCACCACAGGTTCAACAACAGATTCTGTGGAAATTAAACAGTAAAAGGGAAAACATTATTATAACAAGAAGGCAAGAAAAGATACGGTACCAAACACAAAAATAAACTATTTAATAAAATTCCTGTAACTGGTTACTAACTAGCTTTGTTCACTTGTTTACATGCATTTGTTTTTGCCTCAGTCACATCTTTAAATCCGCTTTTTCAGACAGAAAAGTGACAAGAGGGGACCACAAGGCTCTTTCTAGTACGCAAAAGGTAACAATTAAAATATAGTCAGTGAGTGACTTTGAGACTGAGACTAGGATTTTGTTGTTTTCAAAAACTGAAAATAATTTTGGCCACACAAATCTCAAAAGTTTCCTACCTATTTCAGTTTCCTGGAGGGTGTCTAATAGGGGGGCAGAGACTGAGGCCTCCTCCACAGCTGCAGAGACTGAGGCCTCCTCCACAGCTGCAGAGACTGAGGCCTCTTCCACAGCTGCAGAGACTGAGGCCTCTTCCACAGCTGCAGAGACTGAGGCCTCTTCCACAGCTGCAGAGACTGAGGCCTCTTCCACAGCTGCAGAGACTGAGGCCTCCTCCACAGCTGCAGAGACCGAGGCCTCCTCCACAGCTGCAGAGACCGAGGCCTCCTCCACAGCTGCAGAGACCGAGGCCTCCTCCACAGCTGCAGAGACCGAGGCCTCCTCCACAGCTGCAGAGACCGAGGCCTCCTCCACAGCTGCAGAGACCGAGGCCTCCTCCACAGCTGCAGAGACTGAGGCCTCCTCCACAGCTGCAGAGACTGAGGCCTCCTCCACAGCTGCAGAGACTGAGGCCTCCTCCACAGCTGCAGAGACAGGCTCCAGCAGCTCCAGATGTGGTTCAGGTTCAGCAGATTCAGCAACTGATTAAAAAAAAAACAAACATGGGTTGGGAATGTGTGAGAATGAGAATGTATTTGGATGTAAACAAGGAATGGGAGGCAAACAAAACAAAAAATAATTTCAGTCATACTCCAGGGATAGTTTACATGACATGAACAATGTAATTCCTGGAATTGTCTGAATTTTGGGGACATCAAGAATCAGTTCGTTTGATTGTTTACTAGGGTTGGGCGATATTTTTTTGTACCGGTATACCGGTATAAGTAATTTAAATGATAAGAAAATGCCTTATACCGGTGAAAACGATCATTTAACACTGAAAACAGCGAGCGGAAGACACGTTTGTGTGCGGCGCACTTTGATGATGCATCTGCGCAGCACGTGTAGCAGAGCGGCGTGCAGGGACAACAACAACAGAGCAGAGAGCAAACATGGCTGAGGGCGGCGGTGAAGACCATGGTGAAGACATGCAGATTGTAGAAGACATTGTGCCAAAACGCGGAGCTACCTCAAACATATGGGAGTAGTTTGGGAACTAGATAAAAAGAAGCAATTGTGTGTAACTATCGACAGTGGATCTAATGTTGTGAAAGCAGCTGCCCTAAACAACCGGACTCGAGTGGCTTGCTTCGGACACTCGCTCTCTCTCTCTCTCTCTCTCTTAGTGCCATTGGTAAGCTTTATTTACTGTTTACTGTCATTCATTTTACTTCCATGCATGTGTTTGTCTACATTGCAATATAATTACAAATAAGTTATAATAACATAATTATAGAAACGCAAAAGGATACAAAAAATATATACAGTATTTGATCATTTTGACTATATTGGGATTAGGAAACATTTGATAATGCTTTTTATATTACAAAGGACAAACTTTTATATATTTTACAAATGTTCACCTTCATTACATGTTGCCTGCAATTTTCAGTATGTACAAAACAGAATTCTCTACAATTCAGTTTTGTTAATACGTTTTATATACAATAGCTGTATTACACATTTTGCTGCCAATAAATCAGTAAATGCACTTTGAGGCAAGTGTGTTTAAAATTATCAGTGCTAAGTTTTTATAGCTTTTATATGAGGCTTTGTTAAAATTATATCGTCATATCGTGATACATACCAAAAAAAATCGTGATACATGCTGAGGCCCATATCGCCCAACCCTATTGTTTACACAGGATTGGCCAATTACAATGTTTCTAAAAGGAACAAGAAATGTGATAAACTTTTCATCAGTTTTTATTTACCAGTCATTATATCCACAAACCACAATACGGCAGGAAATATTCAGGAATGCATTTGAAAAAGTCATATACAACGATACCTGTGGGTGGCTCTGATGATACAGCAGGTGTTTCCAAGATGGCCACCGCTTCTGCCACCTCAGGCTCTTCACTCACTGTGGGCTCTGAGGGGGGATCAGGGAGGACTGGCTCTGTGGGGACGGGGTCTGGTTCAGGACTGGACTCTGTCGGCTTTTCGCTCTCCAAAGCCGCAGGTAAATCTTCAGGAGGAGGAAGTGCCTCTGTCTCTGCTGCAGCTGGGCTCACGACATCTAAAAGAAAAGGTATAAAGTTAAAGCTAATTACAATAATGAAAAAAATAAAAAATCTATTTTCAATATTTATTGAAATAGGTAAAATTGGTATTCCTTTAAATATGCAGAGTGACAGAATATTGGCAATATACTTGAATGCATGTGTTCTGTGATAATTTTCAGTATTAAAAACAATAAGCACCCATTCAATGAAATCACTAAATCAAATCAAATATGTATGAATTCTGTACAGACAAAAACATAATGTGTACTAGTCCCATTGGTGAGATGGAACTTTTTTTCTTAGTATTTTATTAAGTTAATTGACAATATTTTTGGCTTAAACTGTAGTCGTTATTAGCAGTTGGTAGTTCTACCTGAAGCTGATTCTGTGGGTGTTTGATCTGCCGTTGTCTCTGGAAGTGGAGCTGACGAAGATTCCACAGTAGGAGCCGGTTCTTCTTGGACGGACTCTGACTTTGGTTCTGTTTCTGAGAGGGGGGAACTCGGGAGGTCTGTGGACGGAACGGACTCCTCCACTACAGCAGCGGGCTCGGGGGTCGGCACTTTTACTTCCTAAACAAGACAAAACCAAACAGGAAATGAAAACGGAATTGTGCCCTATGTGCAGTGTTGGGCACGTTACTTTGAAAAAGTAATTAGTTGTAGTTACTTCTCCCAAAATGTAACTGAGTTACTAACGGAGTTACTCCACTATAAAAGTAACTAGTTACCAGTAAAAGTAACTATTGCGTTACTTTTTCGTTTTGTTCTGGAACATAATGTGCACCCGGCGTGCGCATTTTTACCTTTAACCTCAGTGAGTTTGAAATAATGCCAATATTTCCATCTAGAAAAGTCTGTTTTGCTGCTGAAGTCCTGTTCACTCTTCATCTCTCTCTGTGCTGTCAGCACTAAACACAAACACCCGCCACTGTGAATGTGGAAACACCGGTGAAGCACCGACTTCAGCCCAATCAGATGAACATATAAATCATATAAATCAACTGGACAATTTGTTTGGCTACAGCAAAATACGTTTCATGCCCGCATTGTTTGTTCATACAAAACGCAAAACTATGAGTTATGGGTCTTACCTTATAAATGACCTGCACAGACCACTTCGGTTCAGACCAGTTCCTTGTTTAAATCCAGTTAATGGTTTGAGCGTAGATATGTAATCCTCCATTTGGAAATGAGTCCAATGAGTTTTAAAAAGTAAAACAAAACGCGTGTCTCCTCCATAAACTCCTCTGTTTTGCTAGCTGCAGCCGGGTGCATCCAATTTCTAAAATCAACCGTCTTACACTTCACCTCTCTTTTTTATCATTCCTATAGTAATTGAAAAATTACCCTATGTGCATTTTAGATCATCTAAAAATGTGTTATATGTATGTTAGCCAAACCTGTTGCTGTCCTTAGCAGATAAACCAGGAAGAGCAAGGAGCTTATCGATGGAATTGTATGCAGCCGACTTCTGTGCTCACATGCGCTCCTCTGCGGCTGACCTCACGGTGATACAAGCCGTGGTTGAGCGCGATTAAGACCCATATTTGTTTCAAAAACACAATTTATGAGCCATCCTCTCAACTGTAGACATGTAGATTGTAAAGGAAATATGTTTTACATCAGCCAATAATTGCTGAGAGTTTTTCTCATCCTCCCTTCTCTCATGACAACACGTTCATTGTGCGTCTTGAGTAACGCGCAGTAACGGGATGTCAGAAATGATAACGGCGTTATAGTTACTGTCAAAGTAATTAGTTAGATTACTCGTTACTGAAAAAAGTAACGGCGTTAGTAACGCCGTTATTCCCATCACTGCCTATGTGCCCTACCAACAGTGAGTGAGATCAAATTGTCTGTGTGCGTACATTCCAAGCACAACTAAGTGGTCATTTAGAGATTTGACGATACTAAAGTATTAGAAAATAAAACATGCATATACAGTAGTGAAAGTCTGTCTCTTCATAAATATACCCAGTAACTTCTCCTGGCCATCTGCCTCTTTAATGTCAGGCAAAGTTAAAGCAGTGCAATGAAAGATATGTACAATCTTCCATAGTATTGTTTGAAAGTAGACTTTCTTTAATAGGCAAACGCAAGATAAGAGATTAGTACTTATCCTGAGTATTTATTCTTGACATAGTGGAAAATGTCAAGAACAGTAGGACTATGGGAAGCACTGAAAACAAGATAAATGATAATAATAAATTGCGACCATTTTTAGATTGAGGTTTGTAGTTCCTCACCGGTGATGGAGCAGCTTCAGGAGCTGGTTTAGCGGGAGAGGACAGAGAGGACACCAGTGATGAGACCGAGGCACTGCTCCACTGGCCGGCAGCATACGCCTTTTTCCCTGTGACCTTTGAAGAGAGAAATAAATTCAACTACTTTCAAGAACAAATGACAAGCTATAGACCTTAATTCAGTGTCTTTAACAGTTCCACCCAATCAGGAGCTGTGTTGTTTGAGAACTAAGCTGAATTACCTTCAAAACAGCTACAGCTTGGGCAGGATAACACACGCATACTCCAGCAGTCATCAAGCTGCTGGGAAGAGCTACTCTTCTGATCCGAGATCCTGGGAGAGCAAAGGTGACGTTTACATTCAGTATTTACAAAATCTCAAAACCTAGATTGGCCAAGAGGAGGGCCTGCTTTTGGTTGTACCCATAAAAATGTTTTGCGTCTGGTGGATGCATGCCCAAGTGTATGCCCCCTTTTCTCATTCCACTGCTGTTCATAGTGTCACTTCTCACAGTCTACAAAGGAAGACTTTGCTGCAGACGCCTGGGCCTCGCCATTGGGTCACCACCTGCCAACCTTTTCCCTGTCTCCCTTCTCCCTCTTCCTCCTCTGTCTACAGCACCATCACCTTTACCTGCCAAGCCGTCTCAATGGCCTGAGTTCAGCAATGTCACCAGCAACTGACTGTACTGACTCGATTGTCTCCCCAAAGAACGCAAAGCAATGCCACGCCCAGAAAGGTACACAGTGTCACTACAGGAAAAATAATGTAATGGAATAATGGATGAAAATTACCTTTACGGGCCAGAAACATGCCCAGCAGACCGGCCATGGTGATGGTGCCAAATCTGGGCACAAACTCTGGAGGAGGCTCTTTAAGGTAATAATATACATCTAAAAAACAAAGATAAGAATCAAAATCCACATTTTGAAAAGGAAACAGGAGTTCTTGATGAATTGATTATGAACTAATAATTTGACTAGTGACTCACCTTGTCCTGCATGGTAAACATTTATAGTTCCCCTTTTAACAGAGACATAGGCACCCTGCAGAAAGACAAACCATAGGTACATAATATATTATAAATGAGTCAAAAAAACAACAACACACACATTATGTTTGGTTTTGGGGTTGAAAATATTGACTAAAATACTCTCTTACAATACATGAATTTTCTACAACATGCCTACATGTTTTGTCACAGTAAAAAGTAAATTATTAAACAAGAAGAAATAGAAACCGCCTCTGCAATGTACTCAAATTCCTGGAAAATTCCAAATTCCTGGAAATGTGAAATATTTATCTCTCTAAAAGCCCCTAAATCTCAGTGAAAAGTGCTTTAATTTTTCAACCCACAATAGTGAAATTTAGAAATGTATACAAACAATAGCATTCACAAAATGGACAAATGCAGACAAAACATTAAGTTCTGATGTGCCGACTTCAGCTTTGTATCTGTTGTTATGACTATAATAACATATTGTCTGAGGAAAGCGCTGAACAAACTCTGTAAGAACTGAAAAAAGCCCCACAGCATGTGTGCTTCTGAACTCGACACATACGATGCTGCATATCTCCAAAACTATAGAACTATTATCCTTATGCAATGCCCCGGTAGTCTGGTCACATGTAGATGATTGTGAATACCTTTATAGACTGGACCAGCGGCACTATGGTGAGTCTGGCAGCTGACACCCCGCTCTCAATGACACCCGGCTCCTCTTGAACGGCCTGTGTGTGGGGTGAAGGCTGCAGGGACTTGTAGATATTCAGCTGCAGGGCACAGGGACTTGTATTAGTATTTTACACATATTTACCAGATATTATGGTAAACAGAAGTGCCGCACTGTTTCTCTAGTGGCCAGCCCATCCCCAGGTGCATCGGAGACCCTGTACACTCTGATGGAGGCGGCTCCCAGCACCGCAGGGACGGCCACCATCACCAGCTGACACAAAACAGAACAGACGTTTAATAGTTATTACTGGATACACAAGACAGTGACAACAGAGAGTTGAAAAACATGACAACCCTAATGGCTTTGATGGCTAATGTTTGTGTCTTAAATATCTGCTGTTCCTTAACAGTATGATAACATAAAGGATCAGTATGAAATTTGCAAAGATAGTAAATGTGAACTGGATGCTGAATGGACCCCTGAGAACGCAAGCATCACTTTATGGAAGCTACTGGGGAGCAGAGCATTTCAGATTTACGCTGCAGAAATCTGGAATAGAAGACAAACTTCTACTTTGACAAATTTTCAAATCCAGGTTAAAATAGTTATGTCTAGCAGTGCATGCAACTGAAGGATTGTACCTTTGTATTGTGATTATTTATGACTGTAAAGCCTATAATGTCTATTGTCTTGCTGGGGCACCTAACCTTTCTTTGTCATACATAAGACATGGTTAGTCCCACCAGAAAGTCACAGCAAAATGATGTGAACATAACAAACCACAACATGCGGTCTAAAAGCTGATCTAAGGATTTGACAAAAGGCAACAATATATACAGTGCCTTGCGAAAGTATTCAGCCCCCTTGAACCTTTCAACATTTCGCCACATTTCAGGCTTCAAACATAAAGATATAAAAAAAATTTTTTTTTTCAAGAATCAACAACAAGTGGGACACAATCGTGAAGTGGAACGACATTTATTGGATAATTTAAACTTTTTTAACAAATAAAAAACTGAAAAGTGGGGCGTGCAATATTATTCAGCCCCTTGCGCTAATACTTTGTAGCGCCACCTTTTGCTGCAATTACAGCTGCAAGTCGCTTGGGGTATGTCTCTATCAGTTTTGCACATCGAGAGACTGGAATTATTTCCCATTCTTCCTTGCAAAACAGCTCGAGCTCAGTGAGGTTGGATGGAGAGCGTTTGTGAACAGCAGTCTTCAGCTCTTTCCACAGATTCTCGATTGGATTCAGGTCTGGACTTTGACTTGGCCATTCTAACACCTGGATACGTCTATTTGTGAACCATTCCATTGTAGATTTGGCTTTATGTTTTGGATCATTGTCCTGTTGGAAGATAAATCTCCGTCCCAGTCTCAGGTCTTTTGCAGACTCCAACAGGTTTTCTTCCAGAATGGTCCTGTATTTGGCTCCATCCATCTTCCCATCAATTTTAGCCATCTTCCCTGTCCCTGCTGAAGAAAAGCAGGCCCAAACCATGATGCTGCCACCACCATGTTTGACAGTGGGGATGGTGTGTTCAGGGTGATGAGCTGTGTTGCTTTTACGCCAAACATATCGTTTTGCATTGTGGCCAAAAAGTTTTATTTTGGTTTCATCTGACCAGAGCACCTTCTTCCACATGTTTGGTGTGTCTCCCAGGTGGCTTGTGGCAAACTTTAAACAAGACTTTTTATGGATATCTTTGAGAAATGGCTTTCTTCTTGCCACTCTTCCATAAAGGCCAGGGGCCGTATTCCTAAAGATTCTGAGAGTTCTCTCAGAGAGCTCTTATCTTAACCTAAAAACTCCTAGCTAGGAGTCTTAGCTTAAAAGTTATTCCAGAACACTCTTAGAGAACTCTGAGCAAGGAATTGACAACAACTTTTATCTTAGTGAGGAGGCGTGACCGACCCCGTTGCTAGGTATGAGTCATCATTTCAGACGCTGTGATTGGTTGATCCTAAAAGTTAGAAAAAACATATTTTTGATGATAATAGGCAAAATAAGGACCCTAAAATGGACAAACTCAATCATGGAATCTAATTTTAGGAACACTGTGTTATTGTAAATAATAACCAAAAGCTATAAAGTCAGATATATCAATGGTACATAAATACTGTGAATAGTAAAGTTAGACTTATACACCACATCATCAGAGCTTGCTCAGCACCAATTTATCACACATAGTACGTGTATATCATGAGCACTTATAATTTTATATATATATATATATATATATATATATATATACACACATATAATTTAAATATTACTCTATATATAATATACATGATAAAGAAAATTATTATTATAAATATTATATGGATAAATGATGATAATGATTACGTTAGGATTAGTAAAGGCTGTGATATTTATAGACTTATAAGGAAGTAAGGAAACAATATTAATATAAACATATTATACATACACTGTACAAATCAAGTACAAGGGAGTTTAAAAGTCTTATCCTCTCCCACTCCTTTTTGAGCTGGATTGTTGTTAATAAAACAAAACTGTATATTTGTACTTCTATTCTGTTGTTGTTTTGTTTGTTTTTGTCCTTTTTTCTTGTTTGCCATGGCTCAAAATAAAGTATTCATTCATTTGTACTGAATGTGTGACAATTTAGGACCACTTTTTCCTCTTTCAACTTTTACCATTTCTACTTACTTTTGTGTAACAAAGGTAAAATGGATGAGGTGTTATTGCTGACCAGCCAATAAGAAGCTGGTCACATGATTGACTTTTAAATATACCACAAACATGATTCCTGCTTGAATCTGTAGCGTTTCACTGATTCACTGTCATCCAGTGTATAGAATATTTCTCCTGTCTCCACCGTCCACCATTTTGTGCTCTTAGGGAACTTTTAAGTCGCTAAAAGTCCTCCTCTCAACTCTTAAGGGATCTCCCCTTAAGAGCACTCTTAAGACCTAGGATTTTTTAGGAATAGCTTTTATCTTAACTAGGAGCTACTCCTCACTTTTAGGGGAAATTCTAAGAGTTGGTCAAGATTCTAAGAAAATTCTTAGAATTTGGCCACTAGGAGCAACTTTTAGCAGTAAGAATCTTTAGGAATACGGCCCCAGATTTGTGCAGTGCACGACTGATTGTTGTCCTATGGACAGACTCTCCCACCTCAGCTGTAGTTATCTGCAGTTCATCCAGAGCGATCATGGGCCTCTTGGCTGCATCTCTGATCAGTCTTCTCCTTGTTTGAGATGAAAGTTTGGAGAGACGGCCGGGTCTTGGTAGATTTGCAGTGGTCTGATACTCCTTCCATTTCAATATAATTGCTTGCACAGTGATCCTTGAGATGTTTAAAGCTTGGGAAATCTTTTTGTATCCAAATCCGGCTTTAAACTTCTCCACAACAGTATCTCGGACCTGCCTGGTGTGTTCCTTTGTCTTCATGGTTCTCTCTGCGCTTTAAACAGAACCCTGAGACTATCAAAGAGCAGGTCAGAATCAGAATCATTTTTATTGCCAACGTAAGTAACGGGAGGTCACAGACTTGGAAATTGCTTTGGCTCAGTGCAACAGTCAAAAAGAGATAATAAAAATAAGAATAAAAAACACTTCTAAAGAATAAATTTAAATTTAAAATAGAGTTACAGTTACTATTTACAATATACAAGTGCACATGGTGCACACAATGTAAGGTGACAGCAGTACAGTGAAGTAAAGTGACGTATGATGGGCAGTAAAGTGACTTTATAAAGGGCGGGGGGACAGGTTAAGAAGTGTTCAAGAGTCCAACAGCAGAGGGGAAGAAACTGTTCTTGTGGCGGGAGGTTCTAGTCCTGATGGACCGCAGCCTTCTGCCTGAGGGGAGTGGTTGGAATAGTCCATGTGCAGGGTGAGAGGGGTCGGCTGTGATACGACCAGCCCGGCCTCGAGCTCGGGCGACGTACAGGTCCTGCAGCGATGGAAGGCTGCGGCCGATCACTTCCTCTGCAGAGCGCACAATGCGCTGTAGTCTCTGTTTGTCCCTGACTGTGGCTCCAGCGAACCACACGGTGATGGAGGAGGTGAGGATGGACTCGATGATGGCCGTGTAGAACTGCACCAACATCTGTGCAGGCAGCTTGGCTTTCCTGAGCTGCCGCAGGAAGTACATCCTCTGCTGGGCCTTCTTGATGAGAGAGCTGATGGTCGGCTCCCACTTGAGGTCCTGGGTGATGGTGGTGCCCAGGAAACGGAAGGACTCCACAGAGGTGATGGGGGAGTCCATCACGGAGGGTGGGGGCGGGGGGACAGTGCTCTTCCTGAAGTCCACAATCATCTCCACTGTCTTCTGGGCGTTCAGCTCCAGGTTGTTACCACTGCACCAGGACACCAGCCGGTCCACCTCCCTCCTGTAGGCGGACTCATCGTTGTTGGAGATGAGTCCAATGAGGGTGGTGTCGTCCGCGAACTTGATCAGCTTCACGGAGTCGTGGCTGGAGGTGCAGTGGTTGGTGTACAGGGAGAAGAGCAGGGGAGAAAGAACACAGCCCTGTGGGGCTCCTGTATTTATAATCCGAGAGTCCGAGACATTCTTCCCCAGACGCACTCGCTGCTTCCTGTCCGTCAGGAAGTCAGTGATCCACCTGCAGGTGGAATCGGGCACGTTGAGCTGGGAGAGCTTGTCCTGGAGCAGGGATGGCAGGATTGTGTTGAAGGCAGAGCTGAAGTCCACGAACAGGACCCTGGCGTAGGTCCCCGGGGGAGTCCAGGTGCTGTAGGATGTGGTGGAGGGCCAGGTTAATGGCGTCGTCTACAGATCTGTTGGCTCTGTAGGCGAACTGCAGGGGGTCCAGGAGGGGGGAGGTGAGGGACTTGAGATGGGAGAGAACCAGGCGTTCAAATGACTTCATGACGACAGACGTAAGTGCTACAGGTCTGTAGTCATTGAGTCCTGTGATCCTGGGCTTCTTCGGAACGGGGACAATGATGGAGGATTTGAAGCAGGCCGGGACATGGCAGGACTGCAGAGAGGAGTTGAAAATGTCCGTGAACACAGGAGTAAGCTCACTGGCGCAGTGTCTCAGAGTGGCCGGAGACACGTGGTCCGGGCCAGGAGCTTTGCGGGGGTGCAGCCTCAGGAAGAGTTGTTTAATCTCTTTAGCGGCTATTGTTAGGCTGGGGGCAGGGCTGATGGGTGGGTCGTTAGAGTAGTGGGGGGTGGGGGAGGGAGAGGTGTCAGGGGCAGCATCAAAGCGACTGAAAAATAAGTTCAGATCGTCAGCTAGCTTGTGGTCATCAGCACAGGGGGGGGCTTTGGGTTTGTAGTTGGTGATCTCCCGTAGGCCCCTCCAGACAGAAGCAGTATCGTTGTTACCAAACTGCTCCTGTAGTCGTTCTCTGTGCCGGGACTTGGCTGCTTTCAGTTCTTTCCTGAACTGATATTTAGCTGCTTTGTAGCCGCTGCGGTCCCCCTCCCTGAAAGCAGACTCCTTTGCTTTCCTGAGCTGCCGGAGTTTAGCAGTGAACCAGGGTTTGTCGTTGTTATAGATGACCCTGGTCCTTGTTGGAATGATGCTATCCTCACAGAAGTGGATGTATGACGTTACAGTGTCCGTATATTCATCCAAACTATCTGTGGCAGCTCTGAAAAGGTCCCAGTCTGTAGATTCCATGCATGCGCGCAGCTCTTCCACAGCTTCATCAGACCACACTTTGGAGCTCCTCATTGCAGGTTTCGAGAGCTTTAGTCTCTGTCTGTAAGCAGGAACCAGATGTATCATGGAGTGATCTGAGAAGCCGAGGGCTGGCTTGGGAACAGCGCGAAAAGCTCCGCGCACGGTGGTGTAACAGTGATCCAAAGTGTTCTCCTCTCTGGTCGGGCATTTGATAAACTGTCTGTATTTGGGTAATTCCTGGCTCAAGTTTCCCTTATTAAAATCCCCCAGGATAATAATCAGAGAGTCCGGGTATAAGCGTTCCATACACAGTACTTGCTCTGCGAGTGCGCGCTGAGCCTCGCGCGCGTCCGCGCATGGCGGTATGTAAACAGAGGCAAGAATGAATGAAACAATTTCCCGCGGGGAGTAATATGGTTTACAATGAATGAAAAGATATTCCAGAGCAGGAGAGCAGTGCTTGGAGATCACTGTCACATCGTTACACCAGTTTGTATTGACGTAGAAACAGAGCCCTCCGCCTCTGCTCTTCCCTGAGAGCGCACAATGGCGATCCGCGCGAAACAGCCCAAAGCCCTGCAGCTCCAGAGCGCAGTCCGGGATCCGCTCATTTAGCCAGGTCTCAGTGAAGCAGAGGACACAGGATGTGGCGAAGTCCTTGTTTCTTCTCATGAGCAGGCTGAGTTCGTCCATCTTATTGCCCAGTGAGCGTACGTTGGAGAGAAAAATGCCGGGGAGAGCCGTGCGCGCTCCTCTCCTCCTAAGACGCACGAGCAGGCCTCCTCGCTTTCCCCTTTTACGGGCCCACACTTTTTTGGCTAGAACATGAACTAAATCAGCCGCAGATGCCAAGAAAACAGGCAATAGGTCCATGGGAACGGTGGGTCGGATGTTCATAAGTTCCTCACGGGTGTAGGAACAGCCAGATGCACAGTTAAAAAGTAAAAACAAAAGAAAAAGTGAGCAGCAAAGAGCCATGTCGACCGTACGAGGCGCCATCTTGTGTTCTTTCTTTCTTGTGCATTTATACGGAGACTTGATTACACACAGGTGCATTCTATTTATCATCATCAGTCATTTACAGTAGGACAACATTGGATCATTCAAAGATCCTCACTGAACTTCTGGAGTGAGTTTGCTGCACTGAAAGTAAAGGGGCCGAATAATATTGCATGCCCCACTTTTCAGTTTTTTATTTGTTAAAAAAGTTTAAATTATCCAATAAATTTTGTTCCACTTCACGATTGTGTCCCACTTGTTGTTGATTCATGACAAAAAATTAACATTTTATATCTTTATGTTTGAAGCCTGAAATGTGGCAAAATGTTGAAAAGTTCAAGGGGGCCGAATACTTTCGCAAGGCACTGTAAATGTGAAAACTAGTGATAGAACCAAACTGTTTGAAAGCTAGCTACCCCCAACATTAGTTTATTAGGGCAAAATAACGTATATTTTTGGGTTTCAGGGAAATAGTTCAATTATGATTTCAGTTTTGAGCAATCCATTCTCAATTAAAAGATGGAGGGCTGTTGTTATAGTTATATGATATATCTAGAATCACATGGACTACATAAGCGGATCAGAATACTGCATGAAGCTGCAGATAAATGACATCACAACTGCTAGTCCAAAATACTGGTCATAATAGCATGAAAGACCCACAGCGATCCAACTATTACATATACTACACAAGATCCATGCTTCCTACTGGTTCAGTATTTTGCTTACGTTGCACAGAGACAGAATGTTTGTAAATGATGGGACTGTTGCAGAGAGCCACCTGTGCTGCTAGAGAGAGTGGACTGCGGAGTACAGCCTGTTCTATGTATGGCTCGTACACAACACACGTAGAGCCACTGAGCTGTCGTTTTAAACCTCATTCAACAATAACCACGTTACTTCCACGTCGGGGGCTTTAGGGCAAGTGTCACTAAGTTGTCCGATGCACTTTGATTGAAAACATGTGGTAAAACTGTGGGGGAAAAGAGCAGAAAGCGAAAAGTCATGCATTCACCTTGGCCGCCATGACAGCGCGCGGTCCTCTTCCTCTCGCGCTCCTGGATCTCTCACTGGTCCACACTGCCCCCTGCTGGACACCAGACCACACTGCAGCCGCGTGCAAGGAGGTGACGTAATGATGGGAAAGAGTGAGCTCATGGGCCTATGTCAGATACGCCATGAACAATGAATAAATATTTCACATTCAGGTATCAATAGCTGCACTTTAGACATGTATGTTCCAATCATAAAACTATATTATCAACCTGCTCTAGTTCTAGATAAATATCAAATCCATAGAAGATTTTCTTTATGAATTTTCAATGTGTCATGTGATGTGATGGTGCCCCTACCCTATGCTTTAATGGTGCAGCATTATTGGTATTTTGTGTTTGTCAAAACAGGCTTCTGCTGGTTAAGGCCTATGTATCCATATAAAACCCTCAAATGGCCTTTTATCAGGATGCTCAATAGAAAGATGTTGCCCTAATTATCACAACAGTCTGGAGATATCTCAACCTACTTCACTACAAACCTTGTACTTGTATGTGAATCTGCTAAAATGCTAATAGTCAACTAAAGCATGTTTGGTCACAATCAAGTAAAATCATGACGACCTAGAGCTCTGTTATTACCCCATGACGACCACAACAATGCATGGCTGAGTTTAGGGTGAGTTTTATGAAGGAAAGAATGAACCATGTCTCGTAGTGCAGAGGATTCAGTTTATTGAAGTCAAAGTTTAACAACTTAGGTTTACAATCTGTATTTTTTTGTAATATATATATATTCATATATATGAAACCAAAAAAGGCTACTTTAGGAAGAATAAATGTAATTTTCTTTCTTTTTTTCAATATCATCTTTAGTCAGTTTAATGTACAGAATAACAGTAAGCTAATATTATCCTTGAAAAAGAGCAATATGTTCCTTTTTTAATGTCGCAGTGCAACTTACATCTTCACACCTGTGCAATGTACCATGAGGTGTTCACCCCTGAAATAACACACAGTGGAGCCTTTGGGCCTGGGTCAGACTGACGCCGTCGTCCGGGAGGGTTTACACAGTCTGTGCCAAAACAAAAGTCACGCACTGAATCTAAAACAGAAAACCCACGGGACACATGGGACACAGAGGTCACGCTTCTACAGTCAGGCGTAGGAGCCTTCAGGTGTTTGGGAGGCACAGGGAAAGTGCTTGCATCGTTTAGTTTTCTCTTCAAATGAACTGTTCAAAACAACATCCGGGGTGCGTTGGGTTTCAACAGTGATTTCATGAAAAACTAGAAACTACTTGTACAAAAATATGAAGAAACAGACAGTGCTGGATGCAGCCAGTGCTACACATGTCTCTGGTCTCAGACACCAGGGGGCACCACTGAGTCCGTGGCCTGGCAGCTCAGATGAAGCCTGTCATCTGGGTTTCACACACTTTGCAGAACATTGAGAGAAAGGGCCCAGTGCTCTTCACTACCCATGGACTGTATATACTGTAGATGGACAATGCTAACACCCTAGCTCATTGAAGCAGAACAGGGAAGTGCTCATGGACGAAGTTTTGCTCCAAGTCCCCCTGGCTCCTATTGACTTACATTGAAAAGTAAACTCAGTAACTCTTTGTGTCACACCCACTATTTTAGGCGTAATACATTTGCGGTTTAGTAATCTCTATGATCCTGTTTATTTTTTTATTTTGATCTTTTCTTTGTAAATCCAAATAAAGTATAAATTGACCAGATTCTTTCATTCTTGGGGGAAAGTCCAGCTTGCTTTAGCAACCATCATAGCAACACGTCCACTCCATCAGTCATCACTCAGTCACTCTCCTGCCAATATTCTGTTTATGCCAGTACCACATGTTAGATTAAACCATTTTTTTTCATTGCTAATAAAACTAACCATTGCGCGAGTTAATTTTCAAAAACAGACTATCCAGTTTGGACATTTGTCAAAAAGTTCTCTTTCTATAGTCAAACATGTTTTGTTATCGGTGGCACATTTGAAAGGATTTGCTCAAGAAGGATTTACAACTTTAATTTCATTTAACTAAAATATATCTGACATTTTAAAAACATAAAATTTCTCTACTGGCACTTGGCTCTTCTTTGAGGAATTTATGAACAATAAGAAGCACTTATTATTCAATAAAAATTCCTATATTGTGGAGCAATCCAGACAAAGCTATCACATCTCTCTTGTCTCACTACAGTCATAATGTATTTAATTTTCATGATGTGGGTTGTGCCTCGGACCTTATTCTTTCCACTTCAAATCTTTTGCATACGGACCATGGAAGAGCACCTGACTCGTGATTATACCTTACCATATTATTTTTTAACTACAGCTTTTATCATGTAATTACCGGTCTATTGAGTACTGACACACTACCCATCCTCTCAATGCTGCAAAGATATTGGGTAGCCATGGCCTTCCCATTCTAATGTACAGTGTGTGTCCATAAAAAACAAAATTGTCATTCCTAACTTTTGCATTTTTCATGCGCTACACAACTCTTCTTGCAAATGTGAAAGGGGGGGAAAGCAATACAAATGATCCACAATACAGTAGTTCACCCTGTCCTGTCAATTTCTGCCATTTCTCATGCAACACATTACCAGGATTTTTCTTATGGATATATTTTTTTTTCTCCAAAGTCTTTCCATGATGTAAACCAGAGGAAACTGTAAAATGTTTGGTGGTTTGGTATCTCCTAGATTGATTTGAACTGCTAACACCCTGCATTTGAGTGATAAGGGGGGCACTGCAAAAATCTTGGCATAGATTACATACTTTACATTATATCTATCACACAAAACGTAAATAGATTTTTATATATTCTTCTATGTTTAAATATATTTGTCGACTGTACACAAATCTTTATAAAATGAGATGGCAAATGCGTTTACCTGATATTTTTGAAATGGTAAAATATGAGACTTTTGGATAGATAGACCCTGTGATGCAGCGGATGAGACGTAGACAAATAGAAAGTGCATTCATTGTAAGCGGCTCCTTTAAAACTCTTGCATTCACAGGCTAAAGGGATAGTTTTGTTTCATGAATGGGGCAAATAAGTTCTCAATTAGTCATACTGTTAAGCATCTTTGAGCAAAATATGAATAATCATTAATATATATATATTTGTGGCTCCATGAGTAAATCTGCTAAACTTTCATACCACTCGAAAAAAACCCAGTTACCCAAATGTGACTATGGTTCTATGAATATGTTGCGCTATGTTTTGCAATTGCGAAACCTAAAGGGATGAAGCAACATTGAACCGTTTAGTTTTATCACTTGTTTTGCATGAATTTTTGGCCTCTGTCACATCTTTTGATCATATTTTTCAGACAGAGCAATGTCAAAAAGAGGACCGCCCCCACTCAGCCAGCCATCTTCAAGCCCGAAGCGTCAAATAGTAACTCGCAGGGCTCTTTCTTTACAAGTATGCAAAAGATAACATGTTTTCTAATAAGATAAAGGCAGCCTGTTGTGGTCTGATTGGTTCACATTTGATAAAAGTTGGAGATTTATTCAATTGTTTTAGAATTGTATAAGAACATGGTTATAAAAATACTGCTATAATATGTTTGAAAATATCCATTTGTCCATCTTTTGAAGCAGCAGTCTGGGTCTTTCGTCGTTTTGTTCCCGATGGACATGCCCAGAACAAATGATTGATATGTTAAAGGGGTCTAACGGCTCTTGTAAAACTTTCTCTGATACTTCCTCTGTTAATAATCAGCCACTTGTAATCACTGAACCAATTCGAACCACTCATAAAAATGTAAACTATCCCTTTTGTTAAATAATGAACATGTTTTTCACGCACACATCAACACACTCTCTCCTCCCTCCGCTACCTCTAGAAGCAGATCACAGTGGTAGTGGAAAAAACGCAAACATTTGTACACCAGTATACACACATATACATCGAGAGAAGAGGTCCGGATCTAAGCTTAAAGTGTACGAAAATATAAGAGGAAGGAGAAGACAGAAAATGCAAAGTGAATAGTAGTCATTGCATTCAATCCTCCTGTTCACAGTTTGAGTTTTATGCACCAAACTACTATGTTAGCCTTTCAGTGCTTGTGGCATTTAGCTTTATCTTTCTCAGTCTTACAGAGTTCTCTGCACAGTCCTGTCCGTTCAGGCTTTATAATAACAGTGAGGTCCCTAATTTAACACAAGATGCAATGAGCAAACCATAATATTACATAATCGAAAGGAGGAGTGGGGAGTGTTGGCTCTGGGTGCAAAGTTCATCAGTACAAAAAAGTACAGTGCTGTGGTGAAAAGGTTTCTCATCTGTATTGCTGCTACATAGCTCCCCCTACCTCCGAAAACAAGTATAAAGAAAAATGCAAAAACACAAAACCATTCATGTAAATTCAAAAATAAAAGTCATTTTTTTTGTTTGCCTGACAAGCGAGAAGTGGTGTTTATGCTGAGATACATAGACAAAGGAAGAGTAATGTTCAGGCATGCAATAGGCACCCTGTGGGGTACTTGTCGGGATTATCAAAAAGTGTCTCTCGCGCCCCATTCGCTGTATTTACACATGTTACAGGTGAGAGGAGTGTCTGTGAGGGACATGCTCAGCTTCTGATAGGACCAGGGTGGAGATGGGCAGCACTAAGCACAACCGGACTCATTCAGGAACTCTTATATCTTCAGCAGTAATTTCATCACTATTTCAATTCCCCTTAAAACACTCAAATAATGTTTAACTTGCTCGCACTGGGGTTGAATCTCCTAATGTCAGAAATGTTGTGTTTTCCAAAACCGAGAACCAATTCATATTCAACAGTGTCGTGGCATGTCTTCTATCAGATTTTGATTCTAGTTTTTGGTTAAATTCTAAACTGTTTTTTTATGGCTTTTAACTTGTTGTGATTTACTAATAATTTACTGTATGTTCTCTGATAGATGTAATTTCAGTCTACAGCCCTTTGGTCAAATTTGTTCTTTTGATAAATACATAGACTGGATTGGATGATGGTGGTGGGGACTACAATACAGAATGTAGCATTTTCTAAAGCATTTTTTTAAGACTTTAAAACGGGTTTATTACTTCCACGGCATCTCATGAGCACAGGTAGATACGATTTGATTCCAAACTTAATGAAAAGGCACCAGAACGCACAAATGAATCTTTCTAATAATGTAAACGATGTGGTGAGGACTCAAAGTATAAGACTTCCGGAAGGGGTCCAGCACTCCCGCTCTCAGCGCTGCCCAGGGAATCTGTCCGGTCACTTGTGGTTAAACGTGCGTCTCGATGAAGGAGTGTGTGTGGGTCATGAGTGGCGCCCCCAGTGGCGAGAGCTCGTCCTGTCCGTTGGATCCAGGGCTGAGTTGACAGATCTCAGAGAAGAGGTCGCTGTGCCACTGTTTCCACTCTCTGAAGGTCTGGGAGCACAACGCCGGCTCCTCCAGCAGCGCACAGATCACCGCCAACTCCGACTCTTTGGCCTGGCCACACACACACAGACGCCAGAGGAATTACGCAAGGGTTGGGAAGACAGACTAACATGAACAATTGTCAACATGTAGAATATAGACATGATAGACAGTCTCAGAGAAATGGCATGATAGCTGTTGATACAAATTGTAAATAAATGAAAAAGTGGACAGTAAATCCAAGCTGCTGCTTTCTCAGTACAGAATTCCCAAACTTAACATTTACAAACACTCATGTTTATGTTTTGCAATACATCATTTTTAAATAAATGTAATTCATGTATTTAAATCATGACATACTGTATATCATTAGTGCAAGAGCTTTATTTTGTTTTTCTGACATTTAAAGATGCATTACATTATACATTTACAGCTACTACTGGTTGAACACACACAAACACACGCACACATACACACACATAGTGAAGTGTCTTGCCTAAGGACACAACAACAGTTTGCGTTATGGAGCCACAACCGTCCCACTGCGGCAACAGGTATTCCCAGTGATCTCTTATCAAAGTACTAACGAGGCCTGGTTTGAGTACATTTTGATGATTTGTCAATGAAACAAGTATCTCATGTTGTTGTTGGAGAGAAGCAATACTTTTTCATTCCAAATAAGACAGCTCATCTTTTCCATAATTTATATAGACTGCCAAATGTTGCACAACTCAGGTCTGACTAAAGGAATATTTGATAAAAGATAAAAACTACTTCTAGCAAGCGTATATTGAACATTTTTGTAGTGAAACTTTTCCTACAAGATATAAATGGTTGAACTATGTCTCTCATTATCTGACATGTGTGCTCCAGCTAATCGCTTCATATGTACACATGAAATGGTGCAGCCTTAATCAGTATATGTACAGTATAAGTATAAGTATACGACCACACCACAACTATTGCCATAAATACTTTGACAGATGTATTGTCTGTTGTCTGTCAGTACCTTGAGCGTGCTCCGCAGGGCTCTCACACGGTGGAGTCTGTCGTTGAGGAGAGGGTCTCTGGCTCGGTGGGTGAAGCAGCGCCTCAGGTCCTGCCTGCTGCTGGGGCGGGGGTCTCCTAAAGCCGTGACGTTGGCCTGCTCCAAAGACCTGTAGAGCTGCTCCAGACCATCCAGGCTCTCCAGGGGGTCCCGGCCATCCGAGACCCTCCGCTCGCGAGCCTCCGACACTCTCCTCTCCCTGCTCTCCACTCGCAGCTCGCGCAGGTCTAAAGCAGGTACAAATCATCTATTGGACTGATGGAATAGTGTCATTTCCCCGATGTGGGAAAGATGAAGGACTCTCATACTACTGCTAAGCGTACTCCATTTACATATTTATTTATGATAATACTTATTACTTCCACAATTTGGAAAAAATACAGTAATGTATCACACAGGTTGAAACATTAAGGGAATAAGAAACACTCTAAACATTTCTATATTTCACATAATGGACAGTTTCAAACATAATGGTTGTCTTCGGATGGAACAAGGCCTCACAATTTTACAAACCGCAAATTTTTAATCCCACTATTCTTTTGAGGTAAATCTTTGTTTTGTGAATTACTTTTACATTCACCTCCAATCTGCTACCAATACTATAATAAAACATGAGACTCCGAGGCCAAAATCACTGTCTTTTGGAGATTTCAGAAAAGGGTTCCATTATCATGTTATTCTTATACACTACACATCAATTGTAACAACCAGGTGAGGTAAAGTACATACAACATTTGCCAATAGTATTTATCACAGACACATTTACCCATGCAGTGATACAGTATTCTTAAGTACTAGCAGATTGATTGGCAAATTATTATTCATGCATCAACTTATGTTACAGCTACACAATTTTACTTCAAATACTTCCTTACTTGTGCAAAACTCTGCCACAACGATTTTAGCAGAAATAGCCCACATCGCTCCAGTTGTATTATCTCTGAACTGTAGAGCGATATGCAGAAGTTAAAGTCGGAGTAACTTACTTCTCTCTCCAGAAAGCGAGTATTTTTGGAGCGACCTCATTATTGTTCACACATCTACATTTGATATATTTAATAGTTTTAATAACGGGATGATGAGTCAGTAAATGAGGCTTTGGGCTGAGCGCAAACGACACTGATTCACTTTTGTGTGTGTGAAAAAGCTTATGGCTGTAGCTAAACATTCGTGCATAATGTTGTGCTAATGTGAGACAGAGGTTTCTATGTGTCTAAGTTCTTCCTTTTGGTATTAGCTCTTATGGCTGTGCTTGAAAGTGTACACACCCATTTGGCTCCATTCGTTTGGAGATTGTGAATGATAACACAATGAGTTTTTCTTCCCGAACAACTTATCATTAGTGGTTATGTGAATAAAAATTACATAATTGAGCCAATTTGTTGAGATCTCAAATGTGCAGTTTGTGCTTTTACCAAAAATAATGGGCAGCTTTAGGATCAGAGAGGACACAGAACCTCATCCACAGCTACAATAACACAACTCCAAGTTTTCTATCGAGAACTGGTGGATGGAGACTTCTAATCAGGATCATGGAAGCAGTAGTTTCTGTTGTCAATATCGTTTGTTAATAGAAAATGGCCTGTCTCGAGTAATTCATAGTCAAATAAATGTTCAATGGGTGCATAAACTACCAACCCAAACCCTAACCCTAACCAACATATTTCCATGACGACAGTGTTATATAATCTCACCCTCTTCGGCCTCCAGCATATCGGCCTGACTGTCTCCCTCCTCGTCCTCGCTCCTCTCCTCCACATGCGCCGCGCTGGTGTGGAGAAGCTTGCCAGGCATAGGGTCTCTGTTTCGGGGCAGACTTTGGCTCCTCTGCTTATGGGACGAGCGTCTGTGCGTGTGACTGTGGCTGTGGGGACCCCTCTCCAAAGGGAAGGGCCCGTCCCGCTCCCTGTCCCGTTCGGCCGCGTGGTGCCTGCGGACGGGCAGGGTGGCTTGCCTGCGCCTCTCCGGAGACATCCCCTGCCTGCCCAACCCTCCGTAAATCCCCATGTCGGCTGTCATCGTCCCCATGTGCCCGTAGTCCGTGTCGCCGGGCGCCGTTTGGAGGAAGTGAAGCCCGGCGCTGGTCAGAGGCGTCTCGATTAAGTCTTGCCACGATCTCCTCTCCCGGTGCGTGGAGCGACACCCCGACGAGTGGGTGCTGGTGCTGCCCGTGCCCATGCCCATGCCGTCTCCCCTCTGGTCCTCCGCCGAAGAGTGGGAGTGCGTGGACTCGCTGGAGAAGTGGCGTCCGTGCTTGGGCTCCGGGAACGGGCTGGAGGAGTTGACCTGCAGGGGGAGAGGGGACGTGGAACAAACCATCTGTGGGGGGATAGGGGACGTGGATGCGCTCATCGATAGCGGGATGGGGCGGGGGGATGGCGTGGAGCGGAGCAGACTCATGGAGCTGACGGAGCGGGGTAAGTGGTCATACGTATGGAGGTAGTTGGCCTTTGTGTAGGGGGTGGGAGGACGTTTGTGACAGAGAAAGGTGTGATATAGAAATGGGGAATTGTGAAGAAACATTACGGTAATAGCAGACAGAGGGACAAAGAAGGTACAAAAAAAACAGAAGCAATAAGCAATGAGATGACGATGGTTAAAATAACAACTTGGGAATGACTGGCATGGTTACTGCAGTCCTTTCCACCTTTATCTGTAGCGGCACTTTTCTAAACAGCCCTTTTGAAGCAGGATTGTTACATGAACTCCTGAATCCAGTACCGAATAAATGTTATGTCATTATCTTATTTCTTTATGCATGCCTTACTCTATTTTTACTTTTATAACTTCTTTGCACCGAGAGCCAAAGCAGTGTCCCAGTTTGAGACTATAGGAAACTGTTACTCACAATGGCAATACAAATAATATTTATTCAAAAAATCAAAGAATTCTGATATTGTTCCTTGTGATGCAGGACATCTCATTTTCCTAACAGATTCTTTCCTCAAGCTGTTTTTAGTTTAAACAAAGCACTTTAGTTTTATTCCTGCACTTTTTAGCTCGTGTCAGTCATGTACTGTCTGGTGCACACCGCAGACTTTTGCACGTATATTCCAATGTGGTTTTACCGCAAAGGGCAATTAAACTGAATCTGAATCGTTGTACTAGTTTTTTAATTTGGTAACTTACTATTCTTTCCATTCATTGATTTGTTGTTTAGATCGAAAAGGTTAGTGAGCATGGGATTTTGACCAAGAAGATTTTGCCATTTGATCAAAGGAAATAGATATGACTTGGAATACATTGACTAATGGAGTCATAAAACGTCTTCTCAGTATGTTTTAGTCTACTCTACTGGTGTATTTATTTGTTTTAATAATAGATTAGTTCAATAGATTTACTTGCAGCCCTAGTTTCTATACAGGGACCTGGCTTCCCACAAATGTTTGCCAACTGTTTAATTACATATTTGTATTTGATATGTTTCTTGAATAGATTATAGTAGTCCTCCATCTCTCATAAAGTTCCAGGGATCCAACTTTTGTCTGTTTCGCTTCAGCTTTCTGAAAAAAAATCTGGCGTCTAAAGGTTAAAGATAATAAAAAATCCAAACAAAGCTGTCATGTTTGTTTGTACTTGCGATGCCGAGGAAATCTACATAGAAAATATTCAGACCTATTTTAGTTCATTACAAAAAAGTCCTGTTCATAAGACGTTTTGTGCATTGTGCAAGTCAAGGTTTTTGTCACATTTAAAGCCTTCACATTTGAACATTTGGTTGTATTTTCTGCAACTACCACACAGGAAGAACTATTATAGGTGTTAAGATAAAATAAATATACACTTTTAGAAAATTTGTTCGGGTCACGTCCTTGTTATAGTCAGTACTGTATGTATTATACTTTGTTGCCACCTAGAGGCCACAGAGGGCATTTCTCTGGCTGCAGAATAAACAAAACGCTGGTCTTGGCTGCTGCACAAACTTCACTCTCCAATGTTTTATTTATGTTTCCAGTTCTGGTCTGAAAACGGTGGTGCTTTTAGAGATAAATTATTCTGTGTGAGTAGGAATGTGTGAAGAGTGTCTTACCGACGGAGTGCGGTGGTAGGTGTCGCACATGGAGGAGGGGCCCTCTTGTTTCAGGGTCATGGAGCCGTCCACGTCGTCCTGGTCACTTTCACTCCAATAATCTGAGGACAGAAACAAACACTTTTACACCACATGCAAAATGGCACAGTGATGGATGTGAAAGATGAGAGTACAGGCGTATACAGAGGAGATGACAGCTATGACTCACTGTCTGGACACTCTGACAGTAATATAAATCATTTAGAAGAATATCCTTTCTCAGTAGTGCTGCATTCAATAGAAATTATATCTGTAAAACTGAAAAGAATAAGACTTGTTTTTTTTTTTTTCATATAATTTCATGTAAAGTCTTTATGTCTCACTGCAAGAAATCTATTAAAATCCAGATAATTTAGCCCGTATCATGGGAAAATCTTGTTGGAAACAGCTAAAATTAAGATACATTTAGCCAAATCTGAGCAATGTTATCAATTATTTTTCAAATCAACACAGCAGTCATCTCAGAGAACTTTACAAAGTTGTTGATTCCAGTTGTCTTCCAGTTTAAACATAAAGTGCATTAATAACAAACACATGGAGCCATTGCGTCCGTAAGGGGCAAATATCCATAAATGTTTCATAAATGTCCATGAATGTCCTTGATCATCACCACTGTGGTTTAGACCCTCCTGAATCGGCAAGATACACAAAGATTTTAAGCCTAAATGATTACTTCTTTTGGCAATCAAAAGAGACAGATGCTCGAAAACACAAATAAATATCTGTAATTACAATAATTGTCTTCTTTTTTTCCTAATACAGCCTCTTATACAGTCATTGGCCATTTGCATATTGTAAAATAGAGAGAGAAATGACCTTCATCTGGACGTGGCACAGGGTCGTCTGGTGTGTAGCCAATAGCAGCCAGCCCCAGTCTGTTCATCCATCTGAAAACGCAAAGATAGAAATCATTTGAATGAATATTTATTGTTCAATTACTCCACAATCAAAAAAAACATGGTAATTACTTGACAGAGCAGTTCCAGGAATGCTCCGATATTCTGGTTTTGGATACTGGAGCCGATATCAGAAATATCTTCAGATTGAGTATTAGTTTCAGTCAACGATATTAACATCGAACATATAGGACTTTTACTTTTACTCACAGGTTGGAAGCAGTACGTAACAGAAACAGTTTGTAATATATTTGCTATGATTTGAGGTGGGTACTGTGGGGAAAACATCCATTTCCAGCCCTTCCATCTATCGAGATCGGTATTGGTGCCTCCCTGACAATTCCATCTATTTAAATGTTATTACACAAACGTTGGCTTGGCCGGTAACGATTAACTCTAATCTCCTGCATCTTCTTGTTTTTTGCCCTCCTTCCTTGTGGTCTCGGACTATATCTCATTCTCATCTCTAAGAATAGATTTCCCGGTCCGTAAGAAGAAACAGTGAAGTCATCTCAATGAATCATCATCTTTTACATTCTGTATTCAAACTGTGGCGACACTTTGTGACATTGAGCTGTGATACTCTTCCATTAATTAGAGTAAAAAAGACTTACACTGGCATCAGAAGGACGCACGACTTCTTTCTAACTCTCTATCCTCTGCATCCTTTTCTCTCAAACAACTTTCTCTTTTTACAATTCAGTCATCTGTACATTAGCTCATGTTGTAGTTTATTGTCCAGTTAGAGAAATATGTCCTCTACTTTTGACCCATCCTTTAATGCCACCTGAAGTGTCCAGATTTTGTTAATTAGCTTGGTCAGGACTACCGAAGCGCCTGGAGGAAACCCGCCCAGAAAGAGAGAGAGATACATGCAAACTCCAGACACACAAGTCATATGGAATAAACTTGTGATCTTCTTGCTGTGAGGCCTACTACTACTACTACTACTACTACTACTACTACTACTACTACCACCAATACTCTACTACTATTACGCAGGTCCTAGGTTCGATTTCAACTCCAGGGCCTTTCTGTGTGGAGTTTTCATGTTCTCCCCATGTCCAAGGTTTCCTCCGAGTGGTCCGGTTTCCCCTACCACTAAAAACATGCCAAAAAGGTCTGGTATGCCCCTGGTGTATGGCAACCCCGCTCCCATGTGTGGAGAGAGAGGACAAATGCCCACAACAACTGTCAAGAGCTTTGTGACTCTACCACAACTATACCTACCACCACCACCAGTACCACCACTGTTACTACTACTTCTACCACTACCACCCCCGCCCTAACTACTACAACTACACCTGCCACTACTAGTAATTGTAATAGGAGGGGAGTGTCCCAGGGGAGAGAGGGCCCTGCAGAACCTGGCCTGGAGAACTTGAAGTGGCGTAAACTGCTAAAAAAAACTCACTGGTACTCCTTGGGCTTGCGGAAATGCCTACAGTGCTTCAACAAATGTGATAACTTGTTTTCATTTGTCAGATTATCCAACCACCCACCACTACTACTACTACTACTACCGCCACAACTGCTACCAGACTAATACACTACTTTGTTCATACTTAAAGTCAGCTTTTTCATGATTAATTTTCTCTCAAAATTAGATCTACAACCTTTCTGTAGCCCTTTATCACAATTACTCCCATTTTCACCTACAAACACACCAAAACTATAAACAACCGTATTTTCACAGGAGTACCCATTACCGCAGCATGGCAGCCACATTTACCTGCTTAATTGCTGTGGTTGAATTATCGCCCGTTGAGTCGGAGACGAGGTGTGGATAATCAGACCTCATCACACTCACACTAAATATGACACAGGAGCCGAACGTCGCTCATGTCTTATTCATGCGCATGTTGTAACTGTGGGATTAGGCCGGTGTAAAGAGGGCTTACTCTGTTTAAAAATGCATGAAGGACCCTTGTGTCTCTCTGAGAGTCTGGACTCAATGAGAGGAGGACATTTGTATTAATTGACTCATTTCACTTTCAAATACGCAACAACATGTGTATTTCTAGATTATTTAACAATACTCTAGTGGTTTTATTTACTTTAGGCAATTATATAGATAGATAGATACTTCATTCATCCCTGGAAGAATTCAAATTATCAACGTTCTAACTAATTAACAAATAACAGTGCACATGTTTAATTAACTCAGACAAATGCAGTCTTATAGCCGAAGGAACAAAGTATCTTTTATAACGTTACATTTTATAAACACAAAAACTTGTTTGCCTTAGTGTAAAATGTAATAAGTTTAAGTTAGCTTAAGTTTCTTTTGTAACTAGTCAGAAATGTGAAATATTACAGGGTAAAACTGTAATATATATGTTTAGGGGAAAATAATAAACATATTTTTTGTTTTGTTTTTCTTATACCTAGACTAGAAAAAAAGGTGCAGTATGTCATTATTCCATCTACATCTTTTATCCACAGATAACAGGTAAATCTGTACAAATCATATTTGACTTTTTCTGAATAATCTTAAGTATGTGTTATTCTTACTTAAAATGATCAATACAATGAACATTATATGTAGAAATGTGGGGAAATTTAGTTCACAAACCAAAAATTACAGGTGTGACTGTAATTGTAGGGCACTTGTTTAGACCACTAATAGTGCATATTACATACTGTCCCTTTAAAATAATCATTAATGGTTTTGAGCAGCTTCACACTAGCTTCACAATCCTGTCAATTTCAATTGTACGTCCGCGTAGGACAGCGGAGCAACAATATACTTCTTCTGAATATCTTCTTGCAAAATGTGTTTGTTGTATAATTTGAACATGTTGAAGTGTAATATTGTGACAAAATAATAAGAGCAACATATCCAGTGCCGTCCATTTGTAACCTTGAAGGCCATTATCACAAAAGTGCACTGCTGCCGTACAGTGGAAATGATTGTAGACCAATATAAATCCTTCAAGCACCAACATGAATTGTGCAACAAGAAAAATAAGTTTCTATATTTGCTATTTTGACCTTCCTTGTGGTCTCAAGTATGATAATGTAGCATCCTAGAGCCCATCACGTTGGCCTCTAAGATGCTATAGGATCAATTGTTTGGATGGTTTTCTCTGCTGAGGGACCCCCACCAGAAACCCTGCAAAACAATTGATTTTCACATACAAAGTTGCATATTGCACTTTTTTTTAATAAAAACGTAGTGAAATCAGTGAAAGTAGGGTTCTTTGTAAACATACTTTTGACACAGTAATGCTGCCTTTACCATTTGCAGACAGCATATTATTGATTTGTTTCCGAGTGTGAAGCGAATGTCATCATTATAAAAAGATGCAAAAGCCAGAGCCGTGCGTTCACCTGTTCATTTCCTCCAGACAGTCTGTGGCGAAGAAGAAGCTCTTGATTTTGGGATGGCAGGCTTTGAAGGCGCTGTCAGTCAAACGCACACAGAGACACTGATTAGCATTAGTGTTAGCCGCGGTGCGTTCCCTTTGAGAGCATGGAGCGGCAAAATGTTTCTTGATTAGTAATTCTGACGACACTTACAATTTCCGCCGACACTCGATGGCGCGGTCTATTCTGAACTCGGGGAGACTGATGAAGCCCTCAGCTTTCTCGTCCTAGGAGACGCACACAGATGGCAGGTCCGGGTGTAAAATGTCAGAGAGATGAGGAACAGTATCACTTCAGGCTCAAGTAGCAGTATACAGTCAGAAAGCAGACGTGAAATTCGTTTTACCAAGATAATCCGACTCTAACTTCAGTTCAGTTCAGTTCGTCAATATACTTTCATGGCATCTGAACCTACACATAGTTTAGGCTTTTTTTTTTTCTCGTTTCTCCTGTTTTACTCGGTGTTTTGTTAACTCCTGTGTCTTCTTTAGTTCTCTTTCCAATTTTGTGATGGCCTGCCCCGTCTCATGTGTATCACCCATGGCTTGTTAGTAATGATCTATTTAATCCCTGTGTTAGTCCTTCGGTCCTTGTTGAGTCACAGTCATGTCTTGTCTTCATCCTGTGTTTTTTTTAAATTTTATTTCACCTTTATTTAACCAGGAAAGTCCCATTGAGATTAAGAACCTCTTTTTCAAGGGAGTCCTGGACAAAAGTTACATACAGTTACATACATACATATTATAAAACGCTTTATAAAACAGTTACATAAAATTTCATAAAATTACGGATTATAAAAACAGTTACATTTCAATGAGGAAATGTAACTGGTTGCTCTTTATATTTTTACTCTATATTTTGCTTGTGTATTTTCTTATATATAATCACTTATTTTTACAATCCTGCATTTTGGGTTATTTTGTTTTGAAAGTGACACTTGTAATGTCTTTTTTCATGTCTATAGACCATTTGTGTAGAAAAAAATCTTAATAATAATAATGAAAACAGTCCTTCAGTTGATTTGGTCTGATTACAACTTTGTAATTTTTTGATTAGCACTTGTGATAATTTCTGGCAACAAGAAGTTTTTATTTTATTTTATTGTAATTAATTAAACATAATTTGACCCTTCAGAATGAGAAAGGTCAATCTAATGAATTAATACATGTATTTGTTTTTTTCTCTGGATGTGACATATTCATGAACATCAGGAGCTACTACTATACAATGTTTTGAAAATTATGGTTTATATTCTTAAGTCAATTTTCTTCAAGGTTTTTGTGAGCGCAAATCATAAAAGGATCAAGAGGGGGCTCCAGACATTCCTGTCAAAGAACCTGATTCTCAATGAAAAAAAAAAAACATGCATGTAACCCACGAATAGCTTCTTGCCTTATCAATATTCCCCATTTGTGTCTAAATGATGTTGATACAAAAAATACAGTATCATTTATAACAAGTCCTGTTTCCAATTCTCTTTAGTTCGTATGACGGTCAGAACTGAAACCTCTAGATCTAAAAACATCCCAGAACACCAATAAGGCCCTATCATTTCACAGTAAGAAAGTAATAACCTTTTAATACTTTTAAAAAAATGTTTTCTATAGTGGGACATTTCACCCAATTCTAATCCTTGTGTCATGTGTGATGGTGCATTTTACCACCACTGAGCAACTTTTAGGACGTAAAAAGTAATTAAATAGTAGTTGGTGAGAGATTTTTTTTGTTATCTCTTTCCTTACTCACAATAGTTTCTTTTTAATGATATGAATAGTTTATATGCAAAAACAGATAAGTGCCTTGGAAACATATCGGAGAAGCTTACAATTTTCTCTTTACCAAGTAGTTTTGTGAAAAGCCAGACCTATTTTAGTGCCATACAAAAAAGATTTCATCCCTTCTTGCGCAAATTCCTTTCAAGTGTACTGCCATTAACAGAACATGTTGAAGATTGTAACTAGAGGAAAACAATATTTGGACAACACTTAATAACGGAGATATCTGTTTTTGCCTACAAACTCTTCATATGTTTTTGAAAGATTGAAGGTTTAATAAATAGCCCTTTGGACACTTCACATTGCACTAATTTTGCTACTGTAGCCCCAAAAGTAGAAGCAAGTTTGTCATTCTTTGCCATCGGCACTTTCTTATCATTCTCATATACTGTACTCATAGGTAGTAATGTGTGTCTGGCCTGAGGATGTAACAAGATTTTAGCACTTTACAGCCTCAGCACTTCCCACTGGAACATCTAGAATTTAAAAGCAGGTACGGATACAATCAGTATGGTAAATTAATTGTATTTTTTCCTTCATAACAATTATCCTATTTGTGCATTTCTTCAAGATATGGTATTTGCAGACTGTGTAAAAAGTGTAGATTCTTACGTTTTGATTGGTGTACCAGTAGAGACAGGACTCTTTTAGGATGAACCAGTACTTTCTCCACTTCTGTGTGAAATATCCTTTGGCGTCTTTCTTCTTCCAAAGCCATCCCTCACAGTCTCCGTGGCCCAGGTCCTTACACGAGATCCTCCTCCGACTGGCACTGGTCAGGGAGCCTAGACAAAAATGTAAATAAAAAGACAATCAAATCTATGATATCCCCTCAACATACAAATACAGGTGGTCTTATGGATAGATAGGTAGATAGATAGATAGATAGATGATAAATAATAGATAGATCGATAGATGGATAAATGATAGAGATAGATAGATAGATAGATAGATAGATAGATAGATAGATAGATAGATAGATAGATAGATAGATAGATAGATGATAGATAATAGATAGATAGATAATAGATAAATAGATAGATAGATAGACAGAGAGACGGATTACCTTTTTTCTTTTTGGTTTTCGTCCGTAGGGATGTGTAATGAAATGACTGCAAAAGACAGGAAAATAATTAAATTCATTTCAATTCAATTTAATCTTGTCTAGACTGAAATCACAACAGTAGTTATCTCAGGGGAGTAAACAATACTGCTGAATTGGCCAACACAGATCAGAGAATCAACCGTTCAACAAAAGAAATGCAGTGATAAAAACACATAGAGCCATTGGTCCATAAGCGGCAGAGACCAATGTCCATAAATCATGATAATTGTCCATAAATCATGATACCAGAACGTTTCATAACTATTCATAATGTTTATAAATAGTTATGAAACCCACTTTCTGTACTTGTGTAAATGCATTTGCCACTTTTCGAGGCACTGTGGTCACTCTCTATCCACATTTCTGCTATATATATATTTTTTTTTTACTCCATCAGTCATGCACCAGAGAGAATTATGGGTACTCAGGGTTCAGAGGATAACGCTGTATGTAGGAAACCTGTAATGGTGGTCTAAAAGCTGATGTCGCAATTTGTGTCACCTTTTGTGCTATTTCAGTCCATTTGGTGTACATCAAAAAGGTTTCAGGTGTTTGAGTGTTTGTTATTTATTTATTTGAATTCAAAATTTGTTATACGCATATGGGGTATTTTTAGAAACAGAAAAATCCTGCACAGTAGAAATACTGCACATGCCTTCTGATAAAGTAGACTTAGATTAAAACTACACCATTCTATTATTGTCATAAGCAGAGATGCCGCAGACTTCTCCAGGTCAGGCCCCTGAGGCATTCGCAGGCCAGCTCAGAGACACACTTCCCCCAGCATGCCTTGGCTCTCCCCCAGGGTCTCTGCTTAGCCAGCGCATTTACAAAGTACTTTTGGAAACTGGATTGCTCGCTCAATCAAATGTCATTTGGATTGAGACACAACACACATGTAACCCTGTACGCTCTGATTGAGGTCTGAAAATCCAGTCTGTTTGGAATAACTGTATTGAAACATGTCTACTGCATATTCCTGGCATGAAATGTAGACGGATCCTTGTGAGGCTCGGGCCACGTGCTGCATTGAAGAGCACATGGATAAGCCATGCATATGTCAGAAATGTATGTAATTGGACACATGAGCGACTCATTTCCTGCACGCGTTTCATTGTTTTGTTCTGTTACGTCAACCCAATATTACATTTCAGAGGAGTCATGACCCCAGAGAGAGGTGACGGGAGTGGGGTGGGGGAGAGAGTTACGGGGGGCTATAGTACATGTTTTTCAGCGGGAGGGGAAACCAGAGGACCAGGAAGAAACCTAAGTAGACATGGGGAGAACATGCAAACTCCACACAGGAAGGATGCTGCAGCTTTTGAGCATATGTCTAGGTGTGTAAATTTGTCAAAATTGTATTGAAAAAATATTGTTTTAAAGTTGTGTTCTCAGGCAAAGTTACAAGATGCTCATGAAAGCTTCCCAAGTTCAGTGGGGAGCAGAGAGACGGGACCAAAAGAGGTCAGACTGGTTTGGAATCTCGAATAGAGTCTGATTACTCTGTATTCTTATGCTTTGTAAACGTACTGACGAGGACATGCCCAGAACACCTTGTCCTTTGTGTCCGTGACTCATCCAAAACAGATGCCCAAGCCTTCAAATAGCCTCCTCTAAAAGTGGAAGACCAGTGGCTCTATTCCAAGCTCCTCACCCTATCACAAAGAGAGCCCTCATCCATTCTGCAGAGCAAACACATCCTGACCGTTTGGAACCGCATTCTTATCCTGTCAGCCATAGCTCAAACTAAAACAACAAAAAATTACCCTTGTAGTCCAAAATAACAAAAAAAATTAGATCCCAAAGAGCTGAATATTTAACTCGGACGTTTTACTCCAGGCACAAAATCTGATAAATGTGCAGAGAACCGCCTGAGTCACCAACACTACAGAGGTTTTTGGAGGAGAAACTCGGACTCGTGACTAAACGCGGTGTCAGAGTGCCCCAAAAACTGACACCACTTTAGCATAAGCAGCTGATTTAATTCAAAAGGATTTCATCACAGGTATGGTTCGTTCTTGTCTGGCTCAGTGTGCTATTCTTGTACACAATTGATCATCATCGCTGCAGTCGCTAGGAGAAAAGTGATGTAATGGTAACAGATTGGTTGCTACATCAAAACTACATCTTTGTCAATATTAAAATGTTCCACAAATGATTTTACATGAATCTTAATGAGTTTTGAGTTGATAGTTTTTCATCTTCTTTCTTTTCTGATATAGGATTGATTCAGAAACAATTCCCCTTGTCCTCCACACACTGTAAAGGACAAGGGAAAACAATGTTAACATGGCCACAAGCTGTGAATTCTATTGCGCAAATATTATTCTTTTTTTTATCATTTCATGTTTTCAAATTTGAAATACTATCTTATGATGTAGAAAATGTACAGTGAAATAAGTTTGAAAGGTAGAAAAATTGTTTCTGCCTGCAATTCTTTACTATCGCCACCAGGAGGAGTTTTTCTTTACTTTCTCCCAAATTTGAACGTAATCAACTGCAAACACAGACATGGGGCTGTAAGAATGTCCTTTTCTTTTGCCTGTGACATTGCCTACACTTACTCAGGGGCAATACTTTTGCTTTATAAGTCAGAAAACTGCTCTGAGCGTGATGTCATAGTGGTTCAATGACATCATACTATAACAGGACTGAGATAGGAGCTTTTAGAGTAGAAGTAGACGTTAGACGGTGTTAGTGCGGATGGATCTAAAAACAAGTCAGGGTCTGTTTTAGATGAAGGACAACACTGCAACATGGAAAAGATCAAGATTTTAAGAGGGTGTGCATAACATGTGACCTTTAAAAACGATTTATGACGTTTGGATTGTTATGTTGTTTATTTTTTCCAACATTGTGTTTGATAAATGTCTGGTTTATTGCATTGATTTGAAAACACTGTAGATTTCTCACTCACCTTTCTCATTGAGGCGGCTCCTGAGCTGCTGGATCCAGAGTACCTGCTAAAATAACCCACATATGATTACATTCGACTTCCACTTATGTCACAATTGCATTTTTCATCCACAAAACCACACTAACCTGTCCGTGGTGTCTGCTCGCAGTGTGTCCACCCCTCGCTGTAAACGGGAAAAAAAAGTCTGAATTAGTTATATTATTTACACAATAACCTGCTGAGAGAAAAAAAAATAACTTCAATGTTGAGTATTTTTCCCGTGACAAACTGTAATGTCCTTGTGAGGGGTTTCTTTCGCGATCGCAGTGGTTGGAATACTGTAAGTGTTAAAACAAAACAGAAGCATGCATTTTGATTGTATAGTAGTGCATTAGTTTGAGAATATTGTAGTATATAGTAGTACAGTATGTGATCAGCTTGCTTCCATTGAGACCTGTTGAAGCAATACAGGTAAAGCAAGAACAACAGGACTGTGCCTAGTTTCAAGGAAATACATTAAGGATCGCAATATTAACAATTCCATAACATTTTCTACATCTCCAAAGAATCATACAATGAAAAAAGTACAACATATTATTCTTAGCATGAAATATTATTCACGTTATTGGTGAAGTGATTATATATAATGATGGGGATTTCTGATTTTAGTTTGTAAATTTGCTAATGGGAACAGATATTACAAGATTAATCTTCATTCTGTTCCTTTTTGTTCATGTATGGATTTTAAAAAAATGGTGTAATGGCCTGACATGACATGAGCAAATAAATAAATAAATATATTTAAGTTGTGGCATTTTTCTATTCAGAACATGGGATATTGTAGTGTCACAATGTATGGGGTTCTTGTATTTTTCACCATAAATATTTAAATGTGTTTGTTCCAACAGAGGGGCGACAGTAGCTCAGTTGGTAGAGCATTGGCCTTGAACCTCCCGCCACAACAGTTTCTTCCCCTCTGCTGTTGGACTCTTGAACACTTCTTAACCTGTCCCCCCGCCCTTTATAAAGTCACTTTACTACCCATCATACGTCACTTTACTTCACTGTACTGCTGTCACCTTACATTGTGTGCACCATGTGCACTTGTATATTGTAAATAGTAACTGTAACTCTATTTTAAATTTAAATTTATTCTTTAGAAGTGTTTTTTTATTCTTATTTTTATTATCTCTTTCTGACTGTTGCACTGAGCCAAAGCAATTTCCTAGTCTGTGACCTCATGTTACTTACGTGGCAATAAAAATGATTCTGATTCTGATTCTGATTCTGATTAAGGCCAGAAGGTCATGGGTTCAATTCCCACCTCTGCACCTTCTCCATCGACTCCCACTGATGACTGCTGTCGTTGTGTCCTTGGGCAAGGCACTTAACCCCACTTTGCCCAAAAGCCCCCACTGAAAGATCAAGGCTATGCTCACACTCAAAGAGCAGGGCCGTCCTCCTGTGGACTCACCACCTGCAGAGGGTCAGTGAGGGGCTGGTGCTATGAGACTTGGGTGGCATCTCTGACTGCCACCCCCCTGACCCAGAAATGGATTAAAGGGTAGAAAATGGATGGATGGATGTTCCAACAGAAAGAGTCCAGCAATTAAAATTGTTTGAAATAATCAGTCCACAACAATGTATATTATTAAGTAAGATGTAATCCTCATTATGTCAGTATAATTTTTTTCCCTAATGTTCTCAGATTACTATAATGTGACAGTGTGCCTCCAATTAACAGCCTAGCACCAAACTCTACTTAGTCTATCATCATTTTTTCATTGATTTTTGATGTTGGGACCAAACGAGTAAGAAAAGTTATTACTTTTACTTTTCCTCTTTTTCTCCTTGTACGCTCGGATAATGTTGAAAATGTCAAAGCAGGACATTAAGTTCCTTTCCAAGTCTTGCTCGGCCCAAGTCCGCGATTAGCATATGTTTGTCAATGCAGCGTGCATACTGTAGTACACTCCTATGTAGCAGTGAGTCACCGGAGTCACCCCATCAGTCGGAAGGGGTGGGGGGTGGGGGGGGGGGGGGGGGGGGGGGTGGCTGTGGTGTGGTGTGGGCCAAGCTGTTAAAACACTATGTACTCGTGTGTGAGGTTTTAAGCACAGTCTGACAGCAGCGCTTCTAATTGGTCTGCCTGCTGCTGAGTCATACTCCTGCTCCGGAGGGGACGGAGAGAGAGGGAGGAAGACAGCAGACAAAAGGAGACAACAAAAAAAAGTATAAAAACAAAGATGATGAAAGATGGGAATGGAAGGAGCAGAAAGGACACTGTATTTTTCACAAGTTCAGATATATACAGTATTTATGCCTATTTGTCGGAGGAGTTGAGGGAGTTTAGAAGCTGAGGAATGTGCGTCTTGAATAAAAATGAGTTCATCTGTCTTTCTGTATGAGCGCTTCCTTTTGGTTAAACATGAACAATGTTTGAGACCAGGTCAAAACAGTCGTGGGGTGTATCGCATGCACTCATTAATCAAGAAAAAAAGGGGTACATAACTTTCATATAATTGAACAGGGAAGTATTTACAATCCAGCTAACTTATGCCTCACTCTGAAAACAGTTTGGTCTCTTGTTTTCACATTTCTGTATTTTTGGCCCCAGTCACATCTTCAGATCACTTTGTTCAGACAGAAAAGTGAAAAAGAGAGGCCCACTAAGACAATCAGCACTCAAGTTTCCAAAAGGGACTCACTGGGTTCTTTCTAATTAGAAGAAGACAGCACAGTGTGGTCTGATTTGTTCACAAAATGTTACTTTAACAAACCTCTATATTTTGGAATAAACTACTGTGAGATTTCATAACACTTTTAAGCAACTTTTGTTAAGGTTACAGAACTCATCATTCTATCAATGTGGCGAAGCCAGTACTTTTCCCTTGTTTTGTCTATCTGAAGGCCAAGCTACATGGCACCGTGGAAGCTGCTGATTGGAGGTCTCCATGCCTCCGCTCTGTGTAATACACTTGCATTCTGTTGTATCTGTCGTTCGTGCTGTCTCTACCATAAAGAAGAAATAAAGACGCGATCCCAGACATGTCATCTTCTTCACTACACATATTGTTTCATCATCATAAATAATCAAAAGGGAGGTATCCCAGCTTTAAAGTAGATTTCAGTTACTTTCCAAATTGTGAAGAGAGAATGAAACTTTTTGAAGACAAGACCCGCCCAAGCTCACCCCACAGCTTCATGGTGGAAATGAGAAATTATGTGATTCCTTAAGGCTGCTTGTCATTGGTTCAACTATTGTCCGTCAGAGAATCTCACTGGTGGTGCTTATACCAAGAAGAGAGACTGTTTTAAATATATTATTGTTTCAGAAAACCTACTGCACATAATTGTACAGAACTGAAATACAATTTAAGTTAGCAGACATCACCTTTAAGCACATCCTGCACATTCACTAAGATGTTCCAGTAGATTCTGCAACAGCCCCGAAAACACTGTGAGATATGGCCCTCACAGAATGGAAAAAAACTTAAGACAATATTCAAGTGATCAGGTTTTTAAGGTCAGAGCGACTCCAGCCATGTCTAAGATGTTTGGATCAGCTAACATCTGTGGATTGGCGTCTTTTGCTGTGACGCATATTGTCATATAAAATGTTTGCCCTGTCTTCATTCTGTCTGAAAAACCTGAAAAAACTGCAAACTTAAATTAATGTCCACGGGCATTTTTGCTTAAGATCCCATCTAAAAGTACATGTCATTTTTTCCGACAACACTACGAAACATTGTAGACCATATATAATCCATGTTTGGTCTTACGAGGAGATGAGAGCGAGCAGATGGAGAACAACCTTGAATAAAAATGTGCTCCTCCTGTGCCTTCTCCTTATCAGCAGCGTAACATTGTGGAAGCGGAATCGGGGAACTGTCATTCACTAATGAACAAAGCTACAGTAACAAACGGCTGCTCACTTCCCTGCTTCTCCTCCAGACGACCCACAGGCAGATGCATGAGCGAATCTATGAAGACAGTGACCTCACCTTGCATCACACACTGGGGTTGAGGTATAAAGCATCATGACAGGGGAAAAAAGTGAAGTTACATTTGTTACTTGCAGGTATCGAGATGGTCAAGGGAAGAAGGGGTTTATGGGAATATGCTATAATGAAATCAAATAATGTCCAAATCGCTTAAGCGCATAAGACGTAGAGGAGCTTTTACTCATCCACCTTGAATTATCCTTAAGAAAGTGGCCAACATTTAAGTGAGTGATGATAAAAACAAATTAAAATGACTGCAGTATGGTATAATAAACGCAGCAACTTCTCAGAGGCAATATGATAGAGCAAAACTTTTTCAATCAAGATAAAAAAAGACATTGACTTTGAACATACCATTGAAAATAAATCATTGTAATGGTTGAGATATTATAGTATATGTATTATTTAGGCAATATGTTTAGGGCAATATTTGTTATATTTAGGATAGGTCTGTACATCACCCGTCATTTTAGTGTAGGCTGTAGTCGACCAAAGAAATGATTGGTCAACTAACATGCAGGCGTCTATTAGTTTGCTATTAGGTCTATTCAAATGAGAATTTTTTAATATTTTTCATGCCTTAAAGTGCATTTGAGTAACTGTAAAGTGAGATTAAATATAGGTGTGGGATTAAATAAGTTTTTCTTCTTCCCACTCCTTTTCAGGCAGAAATATATGGCCATGTTATACATATATATCATAGATTTTTGTATATACATTTTTTTGTTTACACTGTTTTTTTTTGTTTTGTTTATTGTGTTTGTCTGTTAGTTTTTTGCATTAAATTATTTATATTACTTAATTGCATTTAATTACCTCGTTTTCTCACTTGTGCCATTGCCCGAAATAAATGAATAAATGAAATGAAATGAAAAGATAGAACATTTTTGAAGACAAGCATTTGTTAGACCTGCCCATGTTCACCTCTACAAGGTATTGATTGGTCAAAATTACTTCAAATCCTCCTCATTGGTTTATCCTCCAGAAAATTGTGCTGGTCCTAGTTGTGCCAAGGGGTGGGATAGTTTAAAAGAAGTACAAATTAGTACTAGGTCAGAAATATACATTCTTTTTTTTTAAATGGAAAACAATTTTAGCTGCAGACGTCACCTTTAAAACTCATATAAATACAAAATAGTTTGCTAATTTCTGCCGTCCGTTCTCCTGTTTGCAATTTTCTCTTTTTGACTAGGGTGCCATCGCCGATTTGATTGACTAAACGACAAAAAATACCCGTCCTATTTTAAAGCAATGTGGTTTCTATGTTAATGATTATTTTATATTACTGTACCGATAGTGCGTCCAGGGGCTGGTCCAGGCGCAGGGTGGAGGACAGCAGGGAGGGGCTGAGGGGGAAGCTGGGGCTGCTGGGATTCCGGCTCTTGCGTCGGGAGCGTCTGGTGGAGTCTCTCCTGCTCTCTCGCCCCGGGCCTTCGGGCTCCTCCTCGATCACCAGGATTTTGTCATCGCTCAGGTATCGGAGCAACGAGTTGTCTGAGTCTATGGGACAGAGATGAGGAGTAATGGAACATAAACAAGGAAAGGCTGGGACACCAAACTGATTCAGGTATTATTTTGTTTTGTGTATGCTACAACACCAATCCTACTTTTCAATATGATGCAACAGCAGTCAAGAACACCTTTTTTCAGACACAAACCTTCCCAGAGCACGGGTATAAATGCCTTCAGATGCACTTATGTTGACTCCTGTTCTGTCAGATACATAGCAGGCTGATATGTATCCGCAGAGAACTATAGCGTCATGAAAAACTGCAGATGAGATGTGTTGAGAATGGAGCAAAGCATGGCGGTCGGTCTGAAGCGGTTTCCTTATATCGGGGGTGATTCCTCTAATGTTGAAGTGTGTGATTGTGTATACCTCTGCTCCCTCTCTTGCCCATGCTTGGTTCCTTGGGCTCGTTCATCCAGTTATATTCGGGAGGCATGGAAACGGGTCTGTGATCACCTGGAACGACCAATCAGCGTTTAGAGAAACTGGAGGTGGGAGGGACTTAAGGACGAGTGACGAGTGGAGGACAAGAGGGCGGTGTGGCGTGTGGCGTGTAGGTCAGGTGACAGAAGACACAATTTTTGGGACTGGAGCACGGGGCATGGAGACAATTGGAATGTAAGGAATTTTCTGGGGTTTGAATGACATTTCAACATTCTAGTACAAGGTGGCAGAAGGGAGCGCACTCGAGCCTCACAGCGAGAAGGTTCTGAGTTTGATTCCACTTGCATACTGTAACTTGTAAAAGCACTAATACAACTTTTGCACATTTTGTTACAATTAAAATCAGCAAAAGTTGCATTAGACTTTTGGTTTATATCACTTGTGATTTTTACCAGTCAAGATATTTTTACAATATTAGTCTAGTAGTGTCTGACCATTTCATCAAAGAACAGCCGATAGTCACAAGTCTCTAGGGCAGGCATGTCAAACTCAAGCCCGAAGACCATTTTTAGTGGCCCCTGAAATGATTTTCAATTATCCTTATTACATTAACTTACAGCATTGATGGTAATGTTATACTATGACATTTTAAATCTTACGTTCTCAAGAAAACAACCATATAATTGAATCTGTTTGAAGATGTTAACAAACATGTAATTAGAAGTTAACTATGACAATTATATTTATTTTTGATACTTGGCCCAGTTGTGATTGAATCCAAACCTACTCGAAAATAATATCCAAACTCGTGTCAAATTTAATTAATTTGTCAAAAGAAGAAATTATGTAAAAAAAAAAAAAAAAGATAATAAAAGGAAATTACTTTTATACTTTTGGCCCCAACCAGCTCTCATGTTTCTAAACTTGGCCCCCGTCCAAAATTAGTTTGACACTCCTGCTCTAGGGGCTTATCCTCCCAGTAAGTACATAAAAAAGTGTGCAAAATAAACTTAGGGAGAATCTAAGTTTCCATCTACAAAAAAAACGGTCTCCCCATTCGACTTTTGAAATTCAAAAGCAGCTGAGAAGCACAATAAATTATCATCAGAGGGGGAACGCGCCGCTGTGATGTCAGAGACCTAAAAATGGAGCATGTTTAAATATTTTAGAAATGTGGGGCAACTGAGACTTCCGTCATTAGTTTGGGGGAAAATCTATTTTTAAAGTGGAAAAATATTACCATTCATTCAGTCGTCACGGGAATCAAGCTATTTCTTCTAAAAACCTTTATGAAGTTCAAAGTTGTCACACATCTCTCAGCTATAATCCTTTTTAAGTATACTTCAAACATTCTCAACGTTGGGAGACGAAGTACCTTAAAAATAACCCTGAAATAGTTTTGTGTACGCGTTTGTTGTTGCTATTGAGCGGTAGGGAGTCCCAGAGGAAGTGTGGCTGTGACGGTGAAGGACATACATTGTGATCGGACAAAGAGCTGGTGTCATGTGATCCGTGTTTAGTGAAGCCGCAGCATGAAGTGATCAACACAAGAGGGTGTACGTCAGATGCATGAGAGAATGGCAACCAGTAACCACACACTAATGGGGCTTCTCCATTTAACATATGAGAAATGAATCCCAGTTTGTAGAATTGAATTCAAGATACTGTAGATATTTAGTAAAGTGGCACAAATGAAAGCCCACTCTGTAAAACTATTTTGTATAATGCAAAAACGCAAGATTTTGACACTGGTGAGTCAACATTCAAAATTCATGCAGCTAAAGTTTTCCGGAAATATGTAACACGGGCTATGACCATGTTAAAAAAATATTGGCACTCTTTTCCATTGTACTGTGATTACTTTTTCCTGTTTATGATTGTTGTCTTTAAAACTAAACTTTCCTTGCCTTAAACGTTGAACAAGAAATATACGTTTTGATGCCTTTTGACTTTGTAGATTCAAATTTTAGGAGCAGCAAACACAGTTAAGTTGCTGATGTTTGCAGAGAGAAAAAAGTTATGTGCTTTTTGTCACATTCATAGACTGTCAATATTAATGGACATAGTCACGCCCATCTCCACCGTTGAAACTAATGGGCCACCACTTTCTATGGGCTTTTTCAAAATGGCCGCGGGGAATTTGTTATCTGGCACTAGCCCCATTTAATTAACAAATGCCTTCTGAAATCCACAGCGGCTAAACTAGACTGGTCCAAAAAAAATATTCCCCTCAGCATTGACACATATCTGGAACATAGTGTTGGGCCAAGAGACAACTTTTGGACCATCCTGTGAAGAGGTTTTTGATTGGAAAGACGGCGCCATACAAAAGCATTGGGTTAATCTCTTTCCGGGTACACCCTACCGGCCAGTCATTTAAATGTGTCACTGATTGTAAAGGCATTGATGTCGATCACGGTCACATATTTTCTACAAAGATGCAACTAAATGGAGGCCACATAATTAGTGTGTAGTTTCAAATAAACAAATGGCACAGCGTTGAAGAAAAGCATGCGAGTGAATGCAGAGGGATTGCAAAGACCGTCTTACCGTGAGTAGGAGTCTTGTCTCTTCTGCGGACGCCTGTATTTCGCCCTCGGTCATAATCAGGTCCCAGGGGTCCTTCTCCCTCCAGCAGAGAAAAGTACTGTCCACTCTCCTGGTCCAGGTAGTAGCTGACCGCCTCGGAGCCTTTGGAGGGCGGTTGGGAGCTGTAGCGGCTGATGTCGTCACAGGACATGAGGCCCATCTCGTCTCTGGAGGTGCAGTAGAAGATTAGTGTGATCAGAAGTGTGTAATACCTGTTATCAGCATCAGGAGCAGAGGGAGCTGACCTGGTGCCGTACAGTCCAGACACTGGGGACAGGATGTACACGTCCTGCATGTTCGGGCCATCCATTTTGGACATCCCCAATGTCCCGACGGGGGTGGGAGAGGTGCTGGTGGGGCTGGTGGGCATGGGCTGTGAAGACACGACAGATGTATGTATGAAAATCTCATCATTTTCATCATTTATCACAGTAGTGCAGTGGTTTGTGCTTAAGCCTCACAGCAAGAAGGCTCTGGGTTCGATTCCACCTCCAGACCTTTCTGTGGGGATTTTGCATGTTCTCCTGGAGTCTGTATAGGTTTCCTCCGGGTGCTCCAGCTCCCTAACCTGACTCTCGGCAGAAGTTGCAAAGGGTGCACTTCACACATGAGTCTGGGCCTGAGCCATAGTGGTTGGATTTCAGAAGAAAAAAAATCCTTGTATCTGATTGGATAAACCACTTGTCCGTTATCTTGAATGACGTCTGCTTTCAACCACTCACATTGAAGCACACGACTCCCATAGGTTGCCAAATGCCGGCAAGATTTTTCAGCCCAAAGTCCGCGAGAATGGACCAAGAATCTGTTCTTATAGTTAAGTAAAAAAAATAAAATCAATTTCAATCTATTTAGACTTTACTGTATAGTGCTATGTCATGTATAATTGGTGAGAGACTAGAGAAAATAAAACATCTCTCTTCCTCACTGAAAAACAAACAGGGCCACATCGGGGGAGACGGAAAACATTTATTTGTGAAGCTGCGTCTGCTGCTTGTTTCAACAACAAATCTTGAGCAGAAATTTCCACTAAAGTGTGAGCCATCTTTTCAAATAAACATCTCTCTGTCTCGCTTCTCGTCCCAAAGCTTGTTGAAAGGAGACTATTGCTGACAAACGTCTATCATGTCACGGTGAAAAACAACACAAAAACTATTAGCACACATTCTGTATTTAATTCAAATCAATGTATTTTTGTATAGTCCAAAATCACAACAGTATTTATCTCAGAGGACTTTACAAAGTTGTCAATCTGCCAATACAGATCAGAGAATCAAGACTAATTTAAGATAAGATACAGTGGGGAAATGTCAGTGTTGCAGCGCACATGCAGGACAGTAGTAAGAGCACACAGGGAGCACACAAAATATACAATATAATTAGCTGCTATGCTTCTTAGCTAGCTGTAAATGCTTCAATATCAATCTCTTCAATATATATCAATCTTGATATGGTGTGGATTTTGTGTTATTTTACTTTCATTTGACTTCATTTCTTTGTAGTTTTAGTTTAGTTTTACTTCCTGGTTGATTCTCTGCCCCGCCCGAATGTGTTGCACTTGTGTCTATATGTACTGTACCTATGTCTCTCTGTGTATATATGTACCTGTGTCTGCCTGTCTATATGTACCTGTGTCTCTCTGTGTCTACATGTACCTGTGTCTCTCTGTATCTACATGTACCTGTGTCTCTCTGTGTCTACATGTACCTGTGTCTCTCTGTATCTACATGTACCTGTGTCTCTCTGTTTCTACATGTACCTGTGTCTCTCTGTGTCTACATGTACCTGTGTCTCTGTGTCTATATGTACCTGTGTCTCTCTGTGTCTATTTGTGCCTGTGTCTCTCTGTGTCTACATGTACCTGTGTCTCTCTGTGTCTACATGTACCTGTGTCTCTCTGTGTCTACATGTACCTGTGTCTCTCTGTGTCTACATGTACCTGTGTCTCTCTGTGTCTACATGTAACTGTGTCTCTCTGTGTCTACATGTACCTGTGTCTCTCTGTGTCCATATGTACCTGTGTCTCTCTGTGTCTACATGTAACTGTGTCTCTCTGTGTCTACATGTACCTGTGTCTCTCTGTGTCTAAATGTACCTGTGTCTCTCTGTGTCTACATGTACCTGTGTCTCTGTGTGTCTACATGTACCTGTGTCTCTGTGTCTAGATGTACCTGTGCTCCTCTCCCCCTGTTGCTCGTCCATTGTCAATTTTGTTGCTTGTCTTTGTCTGTTCCTGGCTTGGATTTTGAGTTTATTTTTACCTCTTGAACTTTTATTTTTCCTTATTAAACAAAAAGACACACACACAAATCTTGAACTAACAAAATACTAGTACCGTAACTAATATTAAAGCTTATGGGAAAGAGTGTGTGTTAAAGTAGAGACCACGACATACTGACTTCCTGTCCTGTGAGTCCATATTTGAAGATTTCGGGCTGAGAGCTGATTGGCTGAGTGAAAGGGATCCAATACGCAATACGATTCGCAGTTAACAATACAATATTTTTGAATGGAAACTATTGAATGAACCAAACTTTTAAAAGGGAAAAACTAGATAGAAAGCAACAAAGCCAGAGCATGAAGTCGAAATATAAGTACAAAAAAACAATTTATACCATTACAGTCCCACTTATATGCGGAGTAGAAGTAACCACCAAGACTAAATAAAAGAATACATAAAAATGACATACAAACATGGAACTAGATAGAAGTGAAATTATTATCATGTGCAGTAAGTTTAAATGTGGATTAATTGACATAAAACCATAAAATAATTAAAAATAAGCATCCTCCTTTAGTCCCCCACACGGATGACATTTCCGTGTAGCAGCAATCATTACAGACCAATAGAGGGACAGGGCCTTCTCTGTGGCTGGACCAAGGCTGCCCCACCACGTCAAAACAGCTCCTTCTTAGGAATGTTTTAAGTCGCATTTTTATTTTCTGTCTTTTAAAAAAGTTATGTGGTCCCCTTTTTAATTTATTTTCTTGTTTTATGTGTATTCATGTTTATAGATAATTATTTTTATTTTCTTTTAGTTGCTTTCATTTCAAGCTGGCAGAGTTATTTCTATCTGTGCAGCACTTTGGAAACGTTTTTTTTTATAAAATGTGCTCTATAAAAAAAAGTGGATTGGATTGGAATAAATATAGCCCTCGAAACAAGAAATTATCACAATATCCTCGACTGAACTCCAACATTGTCCACTTCACCAGAGACCCCATGATTCAAACTTAACGTTGAAACTGCTCCGCTAAACTAAACTTGTTTATTTCTTCCTCTCTCCGTCCTCTCTCACGCCCTATCTCCTACTAAGCGCGCATTTAGGGTGAGCGAAGGAGATAGTTGTCATGGGAACAGACATGGCCAACTGCATGAGAGAAGAAGAAAAAAATAAAAATAATGACAAGATTGTGCAGTTTGTGAGCAGAAAATAAGCAACAGAAAAATGCATAATTAAAATAAATTAAAAACATTAAGGGCAAAGGTTATATGCTCATCAGCGCTTTCAGCTCCATGAATAAAAGATACATATTATAATTGTGCCATATGTTCATTGTTTTCTGTGGTGGTAGAGGAGCTACAGTATATACTTGGATATTTACAGCTATATAACAAATATAGATAGATATGTTATGCTGTGGATTATTTGTTAATTGGTTTTGTTTTGACATTAGTTCTGTGGTTTCATTTTTAGTTTTTTTCTGTCGTGTGGTGAAATGAAGGAGGACACAAAATGCAGGAAATAATAAGGATTTAACCCTTTAATGTCCTTGAAGAAAGCAAAGTATTTGTTATTCTTTTTGGATTTTCTAAGTTAGGAACACAAATAACTGTTTAGTTTTTTTAACCCCTAGCTTCTTAATAAAAGCCTTTACCAAGTTATTCTGATTCTGGTGTTGTCCATCTGACTCTGTTAAGCACATCGAGATGCATGTATATGGACTATATAATTATATGTCCTTCCTTCCTAACATTTACCACAATATGTTACGGCCTGTCGTGCATGAAATCACTGTTTTTTAAATGGCAAATAAGAATTTTCAGCCAATACCAACACCCAATTAGGCATTATGTTCATGCAGAGTAAGCAAGATTGACAATAATGACTAACTAGATATGTTTTTTGGATTATTTCATGATTGATTCAATTCAACTGCACATTCTGCTGCTTCTCAATTGCCTCAAACAAATCAAAAATGTCTCATGGATCGTTTTGAGTTGAAACACTTTGAGTCTGACCCTCCCCTCCAGGCTCCTCTGAACCTCCCCTCCAGGCTCCAGTGTTTCCCGGGTGCGGAGCTTACAGTGAGACGGCCTCATAATAAATAATGAAGACGTCTCGGGAAGATGCGAGGAAGAACCGGGGAAAGAGGACAGAGGAGAGAGCTTGCGTAATTGAACCATTTTATAACAGCACAAATAAATAATCCCCAATGAAACCAAAAAAAGAGAAATGTGTTGAATCGACAACATCTAAAGTAAAAGTGACATTCACCGTCAATTAATTAAAGGGGACCTATTTCAACAGAGAACTCCTAATTCAAAGGGCAAATTCACACTTGTTGGCCTGGTTCACCTATGACCAAGTCTGGTTCAAAAGATGTAGACTGACTATGTGAAGGTGAGATACTTTATAAAGAAAGGTTTTTTTGAACGCACCAGATAGACCCGCCCCCCACTGGTTCCTGATTGGATGCAATGAATTGAAATAACTGATAAACAGCTGGGGCCCTTACCATTGGTCTAACTATGAGAATCTTACTTACTGGTGATGCTCATTCCAAAGGGAAGGACACATTTATGGTGAAGGGGGGACAGGGAAGGTTTAAATATATATATATATCATGAACAATGGTGAACTTTTGCAATACGACAGGGTCAAATGGTCCAAATATCTGTCGAAATGAAATGCAATTGACCTTGCAGACATGCCCGTGTTCCTCTGTGCATATTAAAACTCACTTCAAAATAGTTTACAAGAGCAGCACATCTGTTATAATAAGACATCCATCCATCCAATTTCTTCCCCTTAATCCATTTCTGGGTAGGAGTTTCACCCAGTACACTTAGTACCAGCCCCTCACTCTCCTGCAGGTGGTGAGTCCACAGGAGCCTTGGTCTTTCAGCGGGGGCTTTAGGCAAAGTGGGGTTAAGTGTCTTGCCCAAGTACACAACGACAGCAGACATCAGTGGGAGTCATGAAGTAGGTCTTGTGGTGGGCTTGAAACCACAACCTTCAGGCTCAAAGGCCAATGCTCTACCAACTGAGCCACTTAAAATAAGACTTTCATAATGTATATGCGGCAACCCCCGAACCCGGTGGTGGACACCGGCAGTAAGGGATGCTGTCAGGCTGAAGAAGGAGTCCTATC